GCGTAAGAATAGATAGTTAGTTTGTAATAAGCAGCCCCTCTTCTGAGAGATCGGAAGAGGGGCTTTTCTTTGTGGTTGATGACGAAGAGGGTGGGGGTGAGAAGGTTTCCTGGTATTTCGACGGAAGTGTCAACATGGAGGCTGGGTTGGTGGCTGGACTGACGGGTGAATTGGCTGTCGGCGTTTCTGCGTGTTCGGCGGTGGATGTTGTTCGTTGGGGGTGTGCGGTGGAGCTGCATGGTATTGGGTATTTATTATGGACGCCATGACAGAAAGGTAGATATAATGGGTTGGATTTGATATAAACGGTGTTCAATTGGGGAGGGGAAATTCAATGGCGTCGTATGGCGGGAACAGGTCAGGGTTAGGGTTAATGAGAGTACGAAACATAGTTGCAGGGGCGCTGGGAGTGTTGTTGTTTGCGGGCGCGCTGTTCGTGGCGCTGCCGAGCGGAGGGTTGTTGGCGCAGACAAATACGCCGACGCCTGAATCGGGGCCACCGCAGGGCATTCCGCAGATTCCAATGGTTGTAACGGGTCAGGCCGTGGGAGCGCCGGACGGATTCAAGGTGGTTGCGCGGATCGTCAAGGGTGCTGCGGTTTATCAGAGCGAGCCGGGCGAGATTGAGGATGAGCGATATTTTGTGACCGTTGGGCCGCCTGATTCGAGGTTTATCACCGAAGAGATTGTGTTTTACCTGGAGGGGGTGGAGGCTAACGAGCGCCTTCGACATGCGCCGGGCGTGAACCAGTTCAACTTTGACCTTACATTCGAAGAGATACCGGTCGCGACGCTGACGCCGACGCCTGTGCCAGTGCTGCCGGCGACATTCGCGGGTACGATAGTGGTTGCGGGTCAGGCGGTCACTTCCGATATGGTGTTGATCGTTAGGATTGGCGACTACGAGAGTCCGCCTGCGGCGATCCTTGAGAACGGGGAGTTCGTAAACCTAGTTATCATTACGGAGGATGAAGACCTCATCGGGGCTCCTGTGGAGTTTTTCCTGAATGGGGAGGCGTCAACGCCACCAGTAATAGGAGTGTTCGAGCCGGGCGCGCGGCGAGTGGTTGACCTTGTGTTTGGCGAGGTGCCGCCGACGGAGACGCCGTTGCCGACGAGTACGCCGGAGCCGAGTGCGACGCCGGAGCCGAGTGCGACACCGTTGCCGACGGAAACGCCGGTGCCGCCGACGGCGACGGTAGTGCCGCCGACCCTGGTTGCGGGCCCTCCGACGGCGACGGCAGTGCCGCCGACAGCTACGCCAGAGCCGACGGCGACACCAGTGCCACCTACGGCGACGCCTGTGCCTCCGCCTACAGCGGTGCCTGAGGTTGTGGCATCGGCAGAGGGTGAGGACGATGAAGAGGACGAGGGGGGCGACGGTGCATGCTCCAGCACGGCGGGATTGCCGTTTGGTCAGTCGGCGGCGAATATGCTGATGCTGTTTGCGCCCGTCGTGATGCTAGGCGGCGTGAGGTATGCGCGAGGGCGGCGTCGGGAGGAATAGTTAATAGTTAACCGGTGGGCGGTTGCCGCACGAATTGCGAGCGGACATCCACGGGTTGCGGATCCCCTAAAGAGGCTAGAAGATGAGAGAGGCTCTCGCGAATATGCGGAGCCTCTCTTGTTATCTGAGCTTACGAGTGTATCTTGGCGGCGGGGAACTATTGTCGTCACCGGCGGTCAGCACTTGTTAGACGGCGGCGGCGATTGTAGAATGAATTAATGAGTACCCATTTCCCCTAGCCGACTATGTGTTTGCATATGCTTACGAAGAGACAAGAGCTAATACTGAAGATCATTATCGCCGACTACACGCGCACGGCGACTCCGATAGCGTCCGAAGCCGTTGCGCGCAGGCAGGAGTTGAATGTCAGCTCCGCGACGGTGCGCAACGATGTGGCGGTCCTGAAAGACAGAGGTTTTCTCGCTAACCCGCACACTTCGGCGGGCAGCGTTCCTCTGGACAAGGCGTATAGATTCTTTGTCGAGTCCATCGAACCGGGGTTGAATTCTGCCATACCGCAGCGCGAGCAAGATAGTGCGAGGGAGCAGCTTCAGCACATCCTGCAGAATCTGGACGAATGGGCGAATGTCTCCGCGGCGGTGCTATCGGGGCTGGTCGGCAATATGGCGATTGCAACCTTCCCAAAGGCGCGTGACACCAGAGTACGCCATCTCGACCTGGTGCGGATTCAGGACTTGCTGGTAATGCTAATCGTGGTGCTGGAGCAGGCACATCTACACCGGCAACTCATTCGCCTTCCCCACTCGATGGCGTCGGGTGAACTTGAGGAGTCAACGGTGCGCCTGCGCTCCTACTTGATGGGGCATAACCAGTTCGAGATAGAATCGCAGGAGATGCACCTCAGTCCACTTGAGGAGGAGATGGTTGAAGCGACCGTCACCGTGCTGCAGGAGGAGGAGAAGGCTGCGTACCATGACCACTATGTGGACGGCATTCGCAACCTGCTGTCGCAGCCGGAGTTCGCGGAGAACGAGCGCGCTCGCGTCATTGTCGAGGGCGTTGAAGACGGCAGCCTCGTGCAGACTATCCTTTCGGAGACGCCGGAGGGAGGAGTGCTTCGTGTCATCATCGGGCATGAAAACCCCGATGACAGCATGTCGCCGCTCAGTGTGGTCATCTGCCAGTATGGGATGCCGCATCGAGCGGTTGGGGCTGTCGGCGTTGTGGGTCCGACGCGCATGGAGTATCCCAAGACTATGGCAGGCGTGAAGTTCGTGTCATCCGCGATGAGCGAGCTGCTTGAGAGCGTTTATGTCGAGTAGGGGCGACTTTCCCTGCTGCGCTCAGCTGAACTTACATCACTACGATTCGCGCCTAAGAACCTCGCAACGGGGGGGCGTGTGGCTCGAATACCTAGTCATCCCGTATTTGGCCCCGTATCTGGCCGCGTATTCCGCCCCGGTATCTGGCAAAAGAGCTATCTAGGCGAACACTCTTGCATCCGGCCTGGGATTTACGAGCGCGCCTGTATATTGTATTCGGCAAGGTCATGCAGCTACGAATGCCGAAGGAGGAGTAGAGGGAATGTCTGTGTTGGTAATTGGTGGCACCGGCTTTATCGGGCCGCGAGTGGTCAGGAAGCTGGTCGAGAGGGGTGAAGAGGTGGTCTGTATGGACATCAACCCCTGGGCCGCCTCTTTTGAGCACCTGAGTGACCAGGTGAGAGTCGTCAGGGGCGACATAACCCATTTCGATGACGTTATCAGGACAGTTCTTGAGTTCAAACCGGAGCGTCTCATAAATCTTGCCTATATTGTGGGCGGTGGAGAAGGCGACCCCCACAACCAGATGCGCCTCAACGTTCTGGGTATGGACAACTGCTTTGAGGCCGCCCGTCTTTGCGGAGTCAAGCGTGTGGTGTACGCCAGCTCTATCGCCGTGTACGGCCCGCAGCATCACTACGGAGAAAGGCCGGTCAACGAGGATGACCCCAAGCATGGCACCAGACAGTACTCGATGCACAAGATATTCAATGAGTTCCAGGCGGAGCAATATATCAAGAATTACGGGATGTCCATAACGGGTATTAGACCAGCCCACGTAACCGGGCCGGACAAGGTTAGGGGCTCCACCGACCACGTACAAGCGATAACCCTGCCTGCCAGGGGGCTGCCGGTCAACTTCCCGTGGCAATCGTATACGCGCTGCCCGATTCATGTGGAGGATGCATCCGAGATTTTCGTGCGTGTTGCAATGGCAGACTCTCCAAGATACAACCTCTACAACTCCGGCGGGACGCCTATAACCTTAGGAGCACTGGCAGACCTGGTGAGGGATTTCATACCCGACGCCCAGATTACCTTCGATGACGAAGACGGCATCGAGGAATCTGACATCTATCTCGTGGACAATAGCCGCATACGCGAGGAGTTCGAGGTTGAGCTCCCACCCTTCAGGCAGAGAGTCCTGGATATCATCAACGAGGTACGACAGTCGGGGGGATGCCCCTTGTAAGAGAATAGCGACCCTATACCCTCTACAGGCGAGTTTAGTGCATTACCAAGCCGCCGTCCACGTTGAATGCCTGGCCCGTAATGTTGCGTGAACCGGAGCCTGCCAAGAATGCCGCCATGTCGGCTATGTCTTCAGGCTCGTTTGCCCGACCGATGGGGATTTGTGCGCTCCTCCGCTCTTCCAGCTGCTCCAGCGGGATGCCCATGTCCTGTGACCGCTGAACTTGCGTAGCCTGGCTCATGGCGGTGCGGGTTACGCCTGGGCAGATGGCGTTCACGTTGATGTCATATCCTCCGAGCTGGTGGGCTGCTATGTGAGTCATGGCGATTACTGCCCCTTTGCTGGCAGCGTATGCCGCGTTGGAAGTACCCGAATAACCCTTGCCTGCGATTGACGCGATGTTGATGATCCGGCCTCCGTCGCCGCTGTCAATCATCTCCCGGGCGACTCGCTGAAGGCAGAAGAACACGCCCCTGGCGTTGACGCGGTGGATTCTGTCCCAGTCTTCCGGAGTCAGGTCCATAATGCCCGCGTGACGGGTAACTCCTGCGTTGTTCACCAGTATGTCTATGCGGCCGAATGCGTTCAGCGCCTCATCGACAACGCGGTTGATATCGTCAATATCGCCAATGTCGGCCTCGACTGCGATGGCTTCACGACCAAGTTCTCTGATGTCGATGCTGGTCTGCTCGGCCAGCCTGCCGTTAAATGTCAGTGGCCACTACGCTTGCGCCTTCACTGGCGAGTCGCATAGCGATTGCCCTTCCCATGCCCTGTGCGGCGCCTGTAACCAGTGCGACTTTGCCATTGAGAGACATTGGAATCCTCCGTTCTTACTGGTGGTTGGCCGATATACCCCGGATGGCATCCAGTCCTTGCATGGCCATGCTCTCCTGAGATAGCACGGACTATATGTGGGCATTTTGAAGTTGTCAAATGCCACGAACCGCGCCCCAGTGCGCTGCTTGCCGCTTTCAATACCAGGATGCATCGCTGGCTGACAGAGTTGCCGTATTGGGAATTGCTGATACGAGCAGATGGGGATTGACATAATGAGGGGGGAGAGGTATTCTTCTCGGAATTACATTCATACATTTTCGCTCCCGAATTAACATTCATAGAGAGTCCTTCCCGAAATAGCGTTCACAAACTGTACTCAATTCACGGCTGTTGGAACCAACCTAAGCTTTCTGCCGGAAACAGCGTCGGAGTTACGAGATAAGTCATGGAGGGAACGATGATCAAGGACCGAAAATACTATCTGTTATTAGCCCTTGGTGCGGTGTTTGTCCTGGCGCTGGCAGTGGCTTGCGGTTCACAGCCCGCAGCCGAGCCTCAGGTCATCGAGAAGATAGTCGAAGTGGAGAAGGTGGTGGAGAAAGAAGTCCAGGTTCCGGTGGAGGTGGTGAAGGAAGTCGTAGTCGAGAAGATAGTCGAAGTCGAGAAGGTGGTGACTAGAATGGACAGGGAGGTCGTCATCGCGACGCCTAGCCCGGCTGAGTCGCATTTCTACATGGCCGCCACTAGCCCAAATGCCAAGCGCGGGGGGATAGCCCGCATCCATCAGCACGGGCCCGCAGGTAGCTACGATATCTTTTCTTCGACGTCAAATACCCGCCAGAATTGGATGAGCCTTGTATATGACCAGCTGTTGGTTAAGAGCGCTAGGGATCCCTCCTCAGAGGTTGTTCCCGATCTGGCCCACACCTGGGAGGTCTCGGACGATTTTATCGACATACACTTTCTACCTCCGGGAGGGAGTGAAGTTCCACAACGGTTCCGACCTAACCTCAGAGGATGTAAAGGCCAGTATTATTCGCGCTGTCGACCCGGGAAGCTACCATGAGGGTGGGAGAAGTCCAATCGGAGGCACGTTGTCATCGGGAGGAGTCACCCCCGCCACACTCAGCACGCCCAATGACTACACCCTAGTAGTCACAATACCTGAGTCCGACGTGAAACCGCTGCAGTGGACCATGACGGGATGGAGCTCGCAGTACCTCAAGATCGCCGACGATGCCGAACTCGCCAAATATAACGGACGCTTCCATGAGGTGAGCCCCGTGGACTCCAGCGGCTCGGGGCCTTACATTATGACGGAAATAAATGATGACAGAGTGCGCACGGAGGCCAACCCAACTACTGGAACCCAAATGCTCCTTATCTGGATGGGATTGACTTCATCTGGGGTAAGAACAATTCGACACAGTTAACTGCGTCTGTAGTGACTGGTCAGGTTGATTGGTCCATGTTCATTACACCTGTCGATAGCAACGATCCGGACGGACCTCTCGCCACGCACCCGGGCCTTAATCATGGCTATCACACAATACCCGATGCGGCCGGGATTGGACTCAACAACGTAACTGGCCCACTTAGTGATCCGCGAGTCCGTAAGGCGATTGCGATTGGTCTAGACGTAGAGCAAGTCCGCAAGGTTCTCTCACCGTACTTCCAAGCGGAGTATCATGGGGGATTTTGGCCATACAGCCCGGAATTAGGTAATTTTTCGTTAACTAAACCTCAGCTCGATGAGATGAAGTATTTCAGAAGCCCGACACCGGAAGATCTTGCCGAAGCCAGGCAGCTACTGGCCGAGGCAGGCTATGCCAGTGGCGCAGACGTCCCGACTCTAACTATCATCACTATGGAAGACCCAGGCTTTCTATCTGCGGTCCAAGCCTACCAGGCTATGTTGAAGGAGAACCTGGACATTGAATCACAGATCGAAGTAAGCGAGATGGGCATATACCATCAGAAGTACCACGACAGGGAATACGACATTGGCGCTGAAATGTATTTCCCCATGCACAATCCCTACCCGGAGGAGTGGTTGCAGTACACCCTTGGATATGTTGATGGAAAACCTGGCGGAATGAATAGGAGTGGGGCCAACATGCCGGGGTTCGACGACCTGTTATTGGAATTGGGAAATACCAAAACTATGGAGGAACGGATGGAAGTTTCAAAGAGATTGTTTGATCTCTTATTGGACGAGATGCCGCACCTTCCGATGACCATGGGCTACGTTAACCATGAATGGTGGTCGAAAGATTTCAAAGGATACCGGTGCGATGAGTGCTCTTACACCGGAGCCTATATGGGCGGTAAGTGGGACTACGTCTGGTTGGATAGGTAAGGGCAATAGGATCGGATAATCGGAACCACCACCACCTGGGGTAGGGCTTGGCCCCACCCTAGGTGGTTTTATTATGAACTTGCTGGAGACGGGTCTTGCAGCAATATCTGACGAGAAGAATGCTCCTGGCGGTTCCGACATTGATCGGGCTGACCGTGATGATATTCGCGATCATGCGCGTCTTGCCGGGCGACCCTTTAGTAGCATATTTGGACCCGAACCAAATGGTGGTCATGTCTGAAGAAGAAATAGCCGCTATTAGAAAGGACCATGGTCTCGACCGTCCGTCATAGTGCAATATGGGGGCTGGATGGGAGATGTCTTGAACGGTTCATTTGGCAACGCCATGTTTGGTGCCAAGGCTCCGGTAATCGATACTATCAAGACCAGAGGCGTCACAAGCGCCGAGATAGGGATAATCGCAGTTGCGATTTCCTGGATCATAGGCCTGCCCGTCGGCATATTAAGCGCCATAAGACCAGGCTCTGTTTTGGATATGGCTACCAGCTTCACGACCGTGCTGTTCTGGCGATACCCGGTTTCTGGCTGGCGCTGCTCATCTTGCTTTCAACAGTCACCTATTGGGGTTATGCCCCACCCCGCATCGGCGTGTCTTTATGGGAGGACCCGTGGACTCACTTTCAGATTGTTGCCTACCCTGCTTCGTAATGGGCGTGTCGATGGCCGCTATCATTGCTCGTATGGCACGGTCTTCACTTTTCGAGGTGCTGAGAGATGACTACGTGCGAACGGCCAGGTCGAAGGGGATGAGAGAGAGCGTAACGATCGTTCGTCACGCGCTGCCCAACGCGTTGATGCCTGTTCTGACACTAAGCGGTGTCATGCTGGGATTCGCGTTAGGGGGATCAGTGGCCATTGAAGTGGCATTCCAAACCCCTGGCTTGGGAAGGTCCATGGTCGAGGCGGCCATATCGAGACATGGTAACACAGTACAGAGCCTCGTCCTGCTATACGGGAGCCATATTCGTCCTTGCGAATTTGCTCGTCGATCTATTGTATGGCTGGATCGATCCTCGAATCAGGCTTGGATAATCTCCATGCTCATTGGTCGTCAAAGAATGACACCGTGAAGGGTTTCGGATGAATGGAATCTACACTCGCGTCCTTGGCGCCTAGAACGGCCTCCTCCAGAATCTGGAGTAACGTAAAAGCCTTTGCGCGGATGCGCCCCTGGCACACCTTCTGGGGCGTGGTCAGCCTGGCAATTGTGATTGTGTCATTCGGTGGCCTATCTTGTACTTCCCCATTGACGCCTTCTCGGCGGATTACGACAATTTGACATCTCCCCCTAGTGCGCAGTACTGGACGGGGACCGATCTATTAGGCAGAGACCTAACCGTCGAGACTGGTCTATGGCGGCGCAGTGTCTTTGTTTATAGCAGGCTCCGCTCTCCTCCTGGGGACGATCATCGGTGGGACATGGGGGTCCGTGAGCGGATACCTGGGAGGGAAAACAGACCTCATCAGCGAACGATTCATCGAGATACTTCTCGCCCTGCCGGGCTTGATCTTTGCCTATCTGATGATCCTGGTATTCGGCGACGGTTATTTGCAACTTATCTTGGCCTTAGCGATTACCCGCGTCGGATCCGTCGAGCGGGTTGTGCGATCGGTGGCTTTGTCGGTAAAAGAGACCATGTATGTGGAAGCCGCCAGAAGCATCGGGGCTTCTCAGATGAGGATAATGTGGAGGCATGTATTCCCCCAGTGCGGAGCTGTCATAATAGTATTGATGACGATGAACATAGGGGGAATTATCATCACGGAAGCCTCCCTCAGCTTTCTGGGGTTGGGATTGGCCCTCCAACTCCAACATGGGGCAAAATGCTGGGTGAGTCCACGAGGCAGACATTTGTTCCGATATGGTGGATGGTCACGTATCCCGGGTTGCTCATCACTCTCACCGTGCTGTCCTTCAATCTCTTCGGAGACGGTCTGCGTGACGCCCTGGACCCCAGACTCAGGGGCACGATGTAATTTCTGGCCGCAGGCGTCGGCGGCAAATACCGTCGTCCGCCTAAGAGCTTGTGATTTAATGGCGGGGCATTTCATCGTCATTCCGACGGCAGCCCCTCGATGCCATCCGAGGAATATCAGTTACAGGAGAGCAAGACATGAACCAGAGCAAGATGGATGCAGTCGCCGACGCCCTTGCCGAGGCTTACCGCAACGGCGGGCACGGAATTCGTTATCCGCTATGGCGATGCTGGCGAGATCATTGCGGCGCTTTGATTAGTCCAAGCGCAGAGAAGGGGATCACATGATTAATCTAGACGGACGGGTCGCAATCGTGACCGGAGGGGTGCAGGGGATCGGCCTGGGAGTGAGCCTGAGCCTGGCACGGGCGGGCGCGAACGTGGTGCTGGCCGAGTTGGTGGAGGAGCGTATTCCGGCGGCCGTCGCCGAGATCGAAGAGGTAGGCGTTCAGGCGTTGGGTGTCCAGACCGACGTGACCGATGCGAGTTCGGTGGACCAGATGGTGTGCGCGACGCTCGAACGGTTCGGTCAGATCGACATCCTGGTGAACAATGCCGGGCTGGTTATAAAGAAGCACATCTCGGAACAGACCGAAGCAGATTACGATGCGGTGCTCGGCACCAACTTAAAGGGGACGTTCCTTTGCTGCATGCGAGTGGTGGAGGAGATGCGCAAGCGCAACACGGGAGCGATCGTGAACCTCGCGTCACAGGCCGCGTTTCGGTACACCATTCCCCACGTGCCTATGCTGCCGCGAAGGCAGGCATTGTCGCGTTGACGCGTGATCTCGCCTACGAGGTAGGGGCGATGGGCATCCGTGTGAATGCCATCGCCCCGGGGATGATCGATTCGCCAGGTCAGCACAGCACCAATACCGAGGAGGAAATATCGGAGAGGGTCAAGGCTATTCCCCTCCAGCGCATCGGCCAGCCGCGTGATGTCGGCGATGCGGTGGCTTTTCTGGCCTCCGATGCGGCGGGATACATCAGTGGGATCACGCTGCCGGTCACGGGTGGCCGGTAATACGCCAGTTCGCATGTTACTCGCGGACGATCGTTGACGTTTAATGGGCTAGCGGTCGGCAAGTGGTTAACATTGGGAGATAACACTCATGACACCGAATCAAATTGCTCAAGCAGCCGAGAAATTAGCAAATGCGCGGCTGGAAAATAAGAGGATTGAACGCCTTTCCGGAGAACTTCGTCCTCAAGACCGAGAGACGGCAGTCGCAATCCAGGACGAGTTGGCGAAACTCATGGGGCACAAGGTGGTTGGATGGAAAGTAGGCGGCGAACTTGTTGGGCGTGTTTTTGAACCAAATCTTCTTAAGAGTCCTGCAGCGCTGCCTGAAGAGGAATACGGTCATGCAATTGTTGAGGCCGAGTTAGGTTTCAGATTGCTTTCCGATCTTCCAGCACGGTCTGCGGTTTATGCTTCCGACGAAGTAGCAGAACTTGTCGTGCTCGTGCCTGCATTCGAACTAGCCGGTTCGTGTTTCTCGGGCGAACGGCTTGATACGCAGATTGAAGCCGATTTTCTTCTAGCGTATGCGGACAATGGCTTACAGCTTGGGGTGGTCGTCGGCGACGATATTAACGACTGGTCGGAGATGTCTCTGCGTGATATGAGAGTTGAACTAACTGTTGACGGGGGCTCTCCCGTCCCAAGTAGCCTCCCGAGATGCGACGTGAGCCATTGGATGTTTTAGTTTGGCTAGCCAATGATCTTTCTCAGAGAGGGATTGGTTTGGAAGCCGGTCAGGTGGTGGTCCTCGGAGCAGCGGCAATCGCGCCGATGGGTAAAGAATTGATTGCGAATTTCGGGGAAGCTTCGCGCATTGAAGCAAGGATAACCAGCCCGTAGCCAATTCAAGAACTTAGCTTTTGTGAACTTACATTTCGCCTGCCCAGCGGTATAGCCTGACACTGTCAAAGAATGAACACGTAACTGGGGCTTGCCCAGCGAACAGACAGCTAATATGTGAGAACTTGACGGGGAAAGTGGCGATTGTGACCGGTGGGGGCAGGCTGCGCGGCATTGGCAGGGCGGCGGCGGCATGAGGGTCGCATGTGTTTTGCCAAGGCGGCACCCAAGCTACCGGCGCAAATCGACCTAATTCTCTGATCGGCCCTCTCGTCTGTTATACTTTCTACTATCGCCGGAATAGTAGAAGGACACAATATGTTTGAGACCCTGTCGGAAAAGCTGAACGGTGTGTTTGGTCGCCTGGGGAACAAGGGGGGAGGCTGACCGAGCGTGATGTGGATGCTGCTCTGCGCGAAGTTCGAATGGCCTTGCTGGAGGCGGATGTGAACTTCCGCGTGGCGCGCGAGTTCATAGCGCGAATCCGCGAGGAATCCCTGAAATCCGATGTGCTGCAGAGCCTGTCGCCCGGACAGCAGGTTGTTAAGGTAACCAACGATGCCCTCGTGGACATCCTTGGCGGCAAGGTGCATCGCCTTGAAGCCGGGCCCCGGCGTCCGTCCGTCATCCTGATGGTGGGGCTTAACGGCGCGGGCAAGACCACCGCCTCCGCCAAGCTCGCCCACTACCTGAAACAGGACGGCCAGACGCCCGTAATGGTCGCCGCCGACTTGCAGCGCCCCGCCGCAATTCAGCAGCTCGAAGCGCTGGGCAACCAGATTGATGTGGCCGTCTATCAGGACGCGAAATCGGCCAATACGCCCAAAGTCGCCAGGGATGGAGTCAAGCGCGCCGCCGAACTGAACGCGGCGTGGGCAATCGTTGACACTGCGGGGCGATTCCAGGTTGACGGCGAGCTTATGTCTGAACTCGAAGCGGTGAAGGAAGCCGTGTCACCCGACGAAACTCTTCTCGTGGTGGACGCCATGACGGGCCAGGAAGCCGTCGAAGCCGCCAACCAGTTCCATGATCGCATTGGCTTGACGGGCCTGATAATGACGAAGATGGATGGCGACGCGCGTGGCGGGGCTGCGCTCTCGATCACATCGGTGACCGGTGTGCCCATCAAGTTCATCGGCACGGGCGAACGCACAGACGCGCTAGAGATGTTCTACCCTGACAGGCTCGCCTCTCGCATCCTCGGCATGGGCGACATGCTCACGCTCATAGATAAGGCGCAGGCGAATTTTGACCAAGACGAAGCTGCCGAGATGGAGCGCAAGATTCGGCAGCAGACCTTTGACCTTGAGGACTTCCTCGGTCAGCTTCAGCAGCTCAAACAGATGGGGCCTATCAGCCAGGTCTTGGAGATGGTGCCCGGGCTTCTCCGCGATGAAGGGCAAAGTGTCCATGGACGAGCTGGACGGCAGCCATCTAGTCAGGACCGAGGCGATTATACGCTCCATGACAGCGGAGGAGCGCCGCCGCCCGGATATTATTGGCGGGAGCCGTAGGCGGCGTATCGCGCGGGGCAGTGGGACCACGCCGCAGGATGTCAATCAGCTCCTGAACCAGTTCAGCCAGATGCAGAAGATGATGCGCCAGATGATGGGCGTGTCTACCGGCAAGGGTGGCAAGCGGCAGAGCAAGAAGATGCGGCGCATGATGCGGCAGCAAGAGAATATCTTCAATCTGCCGAATGTGTAGGGCTTGGGCACTGGGCTGTCCCCGCACAATTTGTCACCTTTTTGCCCCTCTCTTTCCCTCCTTGTTAGGATAAACATTTGCTAGAATCCGTCAGCGCAACAGAATTGGTATTCGCTGTGCTGGTGGTGTTCTTCGCCTGCACTGTGTTCAGCGCCATGGGCTTCGGGCATCGGCATTGTGGGGCTGCCGTTCCTGTTCCTGATGTTCGATCCGGCGACTTCGATAATCCTGCTGAATGTGATGGCGCTTCCAGTCGTCGTACTGGTCGTGCTGCGAAACCGCGAGCATTTGCGTGGAGAGGTATCGTATGTGCTGGGTTTGACGCTAACTCGGCATGAACACAACCAACGCATAGAAGATAATAGGCCCACTACAACTTCCCTATTGCAAAGTGCTCTAACGATACATGAGATTGTGCCCATCGTGGTGGCGGGCATTATAGGCGCGCTGATAGGCGGCTGGGTGCTGGGCAAGCTCGACATTGCCGAGTATAAGGATATATTCGGCATAGCGGTGTTGGTGGTCATCATCGCGATCACAGTGGGCGGCATGTTCAAGATGCCGTTCTCACTGCCCAGAGCGAGCATCTTGGGTCCGGTGTGCGGCTTTCTGGTGGGGGTGTTCATCACCGGGATAGGCGTAGGCGGGCCGCTGCTGGTGCTGTACTTCATATCGCAGGGTTGGGGCCGTCAAGGCACTCGCGCATCTATGGCGCTGTACTTCATATTCATGGGGACCGCGGTGATAGTGAGCTACGGGCTGAACGACCTGTACACTCCCGCCCGCAGCACGTTGCTAATCGCCTCAGTTGTGCCTGCCGCCCTAGCCGCCCTTCTTGGTGACCGCATCGCGAAGAGCCTGACCGATGTCGTGTGGCGGCGAGCGGTCGTCGGGCTTGTGCTGGCATCCAGCGCGTTTGCTCTTGCGACGAAGGTGGTCAATGTAGTGTCCTCATAGCTAACTAGGGCGCGGATGTGTGCGATATAATCAGCGAAGCAATCAGATTGAACTTACAAGGAGGCGATGATGTCCGACCGAAAGATAGGGTACATTGGCTTGGGAAACATGGGCGGCGGCATGGCGTCGCATCTTGTGGCAAGTGGCTATGATGTGACCGTGTTCGACTTGCGCGCCGAGGCTGTGCAGGCGCTCGAGGACAAGGGCGCGACCGCCGCGTCATCACCCAAGGATGTCGCAGAGAAGTGCGATGTCATCATTTCTTCGCTGCCTACTCCGCAGAGCGTAGAGAACGCCGCAACCGGCGAAAATGGCTTGGTGCATGGGCTGAGCGCGGGCAAGGTCTATATCGACATGAGCACCATCGACCCGGACACCACGCGCAGGGTCGGAGCGGCAGTACGAGCGACCGGCGCCGAGATGCTGGATGTTCCGGTCGGCATGGGGCCCGCGCATGCTGCCAGAGGTCAGCTTACGCTGATGATTGGCGGCAATGCCAGCGTCGTCGAAGACTGCAAGGATGTGCTGGACACGCTCGGCGGCGAGCAGTTCTATTGCGGCGAGCTAGGCTCAGGCGCTACTACCAAGATTGTCAACAACCTCGTGTCATGTTCCGTTGCTACTCTGCTTGGCGAGGCGGTTACGCTGGGCGTCGCTGCTGGGCTAGACCCGGAGCGGCTGCGCAATGTTATGAACAACACCGCGGCAAGCACGCTGCATGGACGCAACTGGACTGAAGGCAAAGGTGTTCGAGCGCAACTTCGAGCCTGGCTTTAAGCTCGCGCTGTCGCATAAGGACCTGGGACTTGCCGCGCAGCTCGCGGCATCGCTGGGCGCAGCCAACATGGTGGGTTCTGCGGCGTACCAGGTGCAGACGCTTGCTATGGGCAAGGGGTTGGGCAACGAAGACCAGTACGCCGCGATTTACGGATGGCGGAGACTGACGCGGGGGTTGAGGTCAGGACCGAGCGAGCGAGATATGAAGGTGTGCGGCCGTAGTTTCTACTGAGACGACAATCCGAGTTTCCTCTAAACACCCGCTCCCTCCCGTGGATTCATCCAACCAATCGCTCCGGCTGTATTACCTATCCTCCTTTGAAAGCTAATAAAGAGATTCAATTTCTTTGTCCTGAGGTAATGAGGTACCCTTTAGTGAATTAGGCCCATAGTTTGTTGTTCTCCAGTCGAACCTCGTATTCGGATCTCCTCAATTATGCTAATCACATCCCAAGGAACATTCTATTCTGGGTGTCGCGCTTGCCGCAATCCTCAAGCTGTTGTTCGAACGATAGGCTAACATTTCACGGCGTCGCTGAATCTGCCGAGCAATCAGCAAAGGTTTTGAATTACCCCCTCTTATTGAGAGGGCAATTCATTCAATCCAAGATCGAAGCCCTATTCGTGTCCCTAAGCGCTCCTTCCTACAATTGTGCAGATCCAAATGAATATTTCCGCGAGCGATTGAAGAAGAAACCTTCTGCCGGATTCTGAATTAGGCGGATACTTTCATTAAAAACGTCGTCCAATGCTCCTTCCAATTCTCTTCAGCTCGCCTTGGCGATTTGCCACGACTTAAAGGAAGAACACCAATGATCCCACTTTTGATCCGGATTTGTCCGATTCGACTTCGTTCTTCCTTCGTCATGTCCTTGCCCCAAATGCCCAAACAGTCTAGAACCCGGTGCGATCTGTTGGCGGGATTGCAGATGTGTAGTCTGAATAGCACTCTCTGTATTCACCTGATTGCGGGTTGTGCTAGCGTTTTCCTCGTAGCATTATCTGTAGGGCACTCGCTCACGTCTGGATCAAGACTACGCACTCGTCTATCACGAATACTATTGCCTCCGAAAAAACGGCTCCCTTTGATATAATCGGTTCCATTCATGAGGTACATTTTGGGCTCTCTAACTCTGACGTATCGGCCCCCTCCCCCTCGACTTGGACCACGCTTCGGTTGTGTTTTGTGAAAACCAATAAAACGTCCTGAATAAGGCGAATGGCTGACGTCTAGAATCTGCAGGTCCTTTGAGAATCGCGGCTTTGTCGGCCACCTCGATATTTCAACTATCTGCCACTCAATGCGAGGATCCTCTGGTATTCAGAGGACGCACGATCACTCTTACCGACTCACAAATACGCTCCCTTCTGAGTATTCTAGGTCAGTGCGTCCCGCAGTTCAAACGTGGCTCCACCAATAATATAGGGCAGGCGACCCATTCCCTTTGGGTAGTTGGCGATTAAAATCACCCATTGTTTGTCGAGTTTTGTGCTCCATTCTCGTCGTTCGAAATTCTGCAAAGTGGAATTGGTGTCATGGTGTTTAACAACATAGCGCTTCAATCTCTGCAGGGACACCCTGGCATGAAACCATTAGAGCAATCAGAGGGTCTCCACGTTCGTAAAGTTCTCAGAAGGCCGTGGCCGCTCCAAGGTTGCATATTCGCAAAGATGAGTTGCTACGCTGTCTACTTGATACAAATGCTACGGACTTCCTCGATCCAAACCCTTGACCCCCGCGTCTCCGCGCTGGCCTCAGACGTGTGTCCAGATGTAAGAGACATACATCTGAGGAAATCTCAGTCTGCTTGGATGGCCATCTATCAGTCTCGCCGATCATCCGGCGAGTAGCTCCCATGAACGCCAAATTGACCACTGGAGTTCCGCTTGGCTCGACGATACCGCGTATACACCAGGTCTTAAGGTTGTTCTCGATCTGTCCTAATACCTTTCGATCACAAGGAACTAACAGCATCGCTATCTTGGTCTTAGTCCCCTGTGCGATAAACTCTATGGCATTGACATCAAGAGCATCTAAACGCAAATCTACCAGTAAGTGGCCAGAGCCTCTCCAAGTGACGATTTCTGGAACCAACCCCGCACATATTTGCTGCTGATGAAATTTGAAAGTTACGTGGTGACTACCCACGCATATAGATGCTGAATCACATCTCCTCCATAACATTGTCTACCTCCTTCGGGCACCACTTACCTATACTCAGCCACATGTTGCCACAAAACAATTTACGGTTCAGGGACTTTTCTGCCAACTCCCCTACCCCTCCCCCACGCCCTGGTAGGTCAATGCCCCCCCTTAGGGATTAGCCGCAACCGCTTCCCTTTACTTTGTCGCGCCCCAGCGAAGGACGCCGCCGCCGTGCAGTATGGTAATTCGAGACGGCGACCGCAAGAGCGCACAACGCTCCGGCGACAAGGTAGGTGTCTCGGAACGCCAGCACGAACGCCTGTGAAGCATCGGAGTTTCCCGCTTCGTGCATTGTAAGACGTCCGTCGAACACGCCGCCCATCAATGCGACGCTTGTCACGATGCCCATGCTCATAGACATGGCTATTAGCGCGCCGCCGGTTCCCAGGCGGTCACGCGGCACTGCGCCCATTATCAGTGTCGCGTTCGCCGCCTGAAATACGCCCATCCCGATGCCGCCTACCGCCATCCGCAGCGCGACATCTCCCACTCCCCGACTCCGCGGTCAACGTACTGAACCAGAGCATGGAAGCCGCCGATATTACAAGAGCGGTCGTCGTTAGGTATGCGGGAGGCATTCTGTCGGAGAGCCAGCCCCCGACGGGAGCTACGCTGCCCGCGATTACGGGCGTGAGCATCAGCAGGAACCCCAAGGCCTTTGCATCTACTTTGAGCACGTCGGACACGTAAAACGGCAATATGAACAGGTTCACGAATGTCGCCATGAACATCAGGAAAGATGCCGTTATAACAGGCGCAAGCAACGGATGCGTCAGCAACTTGGGGTCGAGCACAGGACGCGGCACTCTTTGCTCCAATCGTAGCAGCAGGACGAGTGTGGCCGCGGCACCTATGCCTAGAATGACAACTGTGGGCGAAAGCCAGCCGCTCCTGCCTCCCAGCGTGAGAAACAGCACCAGGCAGGCAAGCCCGACGAATGCGAGCGCCGCGCCGCGCAGGTCGAAGCGCTGCCTGCCTTCCGTCTTGTACTCGGAAAGTATTGCGAGCGCAAGTAGGATGGTGATGAGAGTAAGGGGGACACGCGCGAGGAATATCGAGCGCCAGCCGAATGTATCCACGAGCACGCCGCCGCCAAGGGTCGCGGCAATCATGCCCAGCGTGGATATGGCGGCCATCAATCCCAATGCTTTGCCGCGCTCATCAGACGGGAATATGCTGGTTATCAGCGCGGGAGCCGACGCGGCAATCAGCCCGTTGCCAATTGCCTGCATCACCCGCAGTCCAAGCACGAACGGGAGCGTCGGCGCAAGACCTATCAGGAGCACCGCGAGGGCATAAGCCGCCAGTCCGATGATGTAGAAACGCCGCAGGCCATACACGTCGGCAGCGCCGCCCAGTCCGAGTTGGAGGCTTGTGCTGCCGCCGACGTACAGCACGATTATCCATTGAACGGTGCGGAGGTCCGTGCCCAAGTCGGCTGTGATGTCTGGCAGGGCGACATTGACCGCAAGGTCGAGCGAGCAAAGGAGCATGCCGAGTGCTGCCGCGACCAGCCCGAGCCACTTGTTCGCTGTCTTGACTGAGGTTGTTTCCGTGACTAAGTCCTATTTTGGCGGGTGGCTGTGCCACTGGTGAGGCTTGGTTCGGATGAACTCTCCCAGCAGCGACTTGGCTTCGTCCAAATCCAGGTCGATTACCTCTACACCATGCCTGACCATCATCTCAAACCCTTCATTAGCAGTCTTCGATTCCGCGGTTACTACCTTGGTTATGCCGAATTGGAGGACTGCGCCCGCGCACATGTAGCAGGGCATAAGCGTGGAGTAGAGCGTCATGCCGCCGAAGTCTTGAATGGTTTTGCCAGCGTTGTAGAGACAGTTAATCTCTGCGTGCATGACCGGCGCGGTGTCTTGCAGACGGCGATTGCGCCCAGTAGCTACGAGCGAATCACCATCTACGAGGGCAGCACCGATAGGAACACCGCCTTCCTCTGCGCCCAGCCGTGCCTCCTTGAAGGCTGCCCTCATGAAGTCGTCCATTGATTGAACACTCCTCGTTCAGCAGGATTCTGTTGCTACCAGCCGAGCGCGTAGCATGCGCGCCTAGGATCGCCGCCCGCGCTGAGAACACCCGTCTGCGGGTCGCGGTGAGCAATCGTTGCGCCCATGCCGCAGGTTGCCGCCTGCACAAACTCACCGTGTCCCAGCGCCCTCAGAGTGTCCCAATTTTGGGCAGGATAGCCCTGCTCAAGCGACACGCGATTGGGGTAATAGACATGGGGGTAGAACGAGTCGGGCACGCTTTCCGTTGCGAAGCGCGGCGCCTCCACCGCTTCCTGCGCGTTCATGCCGAACACCAGGGTGTTTAGCATCAGCTGCACATTTGCCTGCGCCTGATGGTCGCCGCCCGGGCAGCCAACCGTCATTACCGGCGTACCGTCCTTGGAACAATGTAGTTGATGAGCGTAGTGCGCGGGCGCTTGCCCGGCTCCAGCCTGTTCGGATGCCCGTCGATGAAGTTGAGCATTTCGATGCGCGAGCTTAAGGCAGCGCCCTGTTCCGGGAAGAACACGCCTTTGCTGAAAGAGCCGCCGCTTGGCGTGGCGCACACCAGATTTCCGTCTCGGTCGATGCAGGCAATATGCGTCGTGCCACTGCTGTTGCCCGACTCGCCCGCGCCGACGCCTACCGGTATCTGCGCCGTCCCGTTCGCCGGCTTGCTGACACCGGAGTACTTCCAGGGATCGCCGGCAGCAGGAAGCTCAGGGCAGGCGCGTTCGGGGTCGATCTGCCCCGCTCGCTCGGTCGCGTACTCCTTCGAAATAAGGCCGTCTATTGTACCGTGGCGAAGTTCGGGTCGCCGTAGTACACCTCACGGTCGGCAAATGCGAGCTTTGTCGCTTCCAGCATGGTGTGCGTATAAGCAGGTGAGTTGTGCCCCATGGCCTTCAAGTCGAAGCATTCAAGGATATTCAGGATTTGCAGAGCCATGATGCCCTGTGTCCATGTCGAATGGCTGCTTATCTCATGCCCCATGAAGGTTGACTTGATTGGCTCGCCGTATTCGGCTTCGTAGTTGGCAAGGTCGTCTTCGCTGAGTATGCCGCCGACCTGCCGCGAGTGCGCCACGATGCTTTTCGCTATGTCGCCCTTATAGAAGGCGTCATTGCCGGCGCGAATGCCGTCTGCGCGGTTGCCTGTGGATGCGTTCTCGGCGGCTACCATCTGTTTCAGCATATTGGCGAGGTCCTTCTGCACAGCAGAGAGCCTGGCTGCGGGACATTGCCGTTGTCGAAGAAGATGTTCCTGCCGCCGGGCGGGAACAGGTCGAACTGCTCGCGCGTGCCGGGGCTGTCCAGTCGTTGCAGCATGTATTCGTAGTTCGGGAAGCCAAACTCGGCGTGATGGATTGCCGGCGCAAGAACCTCGCCCAGCGTCTTGGTGCCGTAGCGTTCAAGCATAGATGTCAGCGCGGCGATGATGCCGGGCACCGTGAAGGACATCGGCGCATCAGGACCAGGTCCGGTGGGAATTTCGTCGAAGCCGCGAGACTTGTAGAAGTCCACACTCGCCTTGCCCGGCGCGGTGCCCTGTCCGCTGAGGGACAGCAGGTCGCCGCTGCGCGAGTCGTAGAGCATGAAGACGCCCTCGGCAAGCAGTGAGTAGTTGGCGAGCGGCTCGGTCACGCCTGCCGCGAAGTGTTGCGGCTACATGGCGTCGAAAGCGTTGCCGCCGTTAAGCAGCATGCGCATGCCCGCCATCGAAGTAAGGTAGTGGCCGCTGGAGATGACTCCCTGCGTGCCATATACGACAGGCCTGCCGGTTGGGGGGCGCACCATATCGCCCTTGTCGATACTCACATGATTGTCACTTGTAGGCATGGTTTCGTGTCCTCCCTGACCTGTGTATATGTGTTTAGGCGTCTTTGTTGTCGGATATAATCCAATAGGCGGGCGGCGATGTCAAACTGACCGCCCGTGCACTCTGATTCGATTACCGCTGGCGCAATTTTCGAGCGAGAAGTCGTCGCTGTTAACCCAGTCGCGTTGCGCCTCCTCGCGTTCCAGCACGTCGTTCGCGGCGGCTACGATGTCTCTGGCAATCTCATTCGGTATGGTTACCACGCCATTGGCAGTCGGCGTGGATGAGATCACCCGGATTCACCAGCACGCCGCTGATTCGCACCGGCACCTGCGCCTCCATGAAGCCGAAGTTGCCATGCGCCGGAACCATCCCGGGCGCGAAGTAGTGGAAGCCCATCTCGCGCACCGTGTCCACATCGCGCACGCCGCCGTCGTGACCAGCCCGATTGCGCCAGTCGCATTGATACGGTTGCCAATCCGTCTCCGAAGTGGCAGCCATGCTTTGGCTTGGAACTCAGGTCTTTCAGAGCCAGCACTACCGGGTTGGGCGACGCATCAATCGCCTCGAACAGCTGGAAGCGCGCCTCGCGGTCGTGGACTCCTGCCGTGCGTGGTGGTGTCCAGCGTGCCGGTGACGGCGTATCCGACCATCACTCCCATTTCAGGAAACATGCAGCGTATATCCCAGCCCATGAAGCCGTCGGTGTTGCTGCGAATATCGAAATGCTCGATGGCGTTCGCAATCGTGGCGGTGTCAATCTGCCGAAGCGCGTCCAGTTCGGCGTCGTTCAGAGGACCTTGCATGGTAAAATCTCCGCAGAAGATATTCAGTGCATCGGTTGGTCAGTTAAATTGGTTGTCAGTGTATCAGTTTCAGGCGCTGTTTGCCGTTGCGAGATACTGATACATCGAGACACTGAGTAATCGATAAACAGGCTAACCGAAACACTTTTAGCGAAAGGAAATTGTACAAAATGGCTGTGAACAAAGTGCTTATGACCGGCGCGACAGGCTACATCGCCAACCAGTTGCTGCCGACATTTCGTGAGAACTACGAGATGGTTCTGGTAGACGTGAAGGATGAGAATCCACGAGGCGATAAGGTTGAAGGGGTTGATATCGCCAACCTGATAGACACCGATCGCAGCAACTATGCCACCTGTTCGAGGGCGTGGACGCTGTGGTGCATCTGGGGTACAAGCGCAGGCAGGGTGATCCGCTCGACCACTTCTTCGATGAGAACGAGAATGTGCAGATGGCGTACAACGTGCTGCGAAGCGCGTATGACGCGGGCGTGCCAAGACTTGCCATCGCAAGTTCCAACCACGCCGCCGACTGGTATGAGCACAACCTGATCCACACGCGCAAGATGGAGTCGCTGGACCCGTTCAGGCTGCCCCTGTCCGACAACTTCTACGGCTGGGCGAAGGCGACATACGAGCACCTGGGATTCCTGTTCGCCTGCGGACTTGAAGGCTTCGGAGACAGTTCAGGCAGGCAGCAGCACACCGGAGGCGGGTCAACGATGCGGCAGACGGGCGTGGTTATGGTGCGCATCGGCGCGCCGCGCGAACTCGACCCGGCTATATATGTGGGCGACCCGGACAACTACAAGCGCGATCTTGGCGCGTACATCAGTCCGCGCGACATCACGCAGTTGTTCCAGAAGGCAATCGAGGCGCCGAACATCGAGAACGAGCACGGCGTTCCCTGGCAGGTGGTCTATGGCATAAGCAACAACACGCGCGCATTCTGGTCGCTGACGAGTGCGCGCAAGGCGCTGGGCTATGAGCCGGAGGACGACTCGGAGGTGAAGTTCGCGGACGACATCCGCAGGCTGCTGATTGACGGCGGTGCGAATGGTGGTCGGGTTGGGTAGTAAAACCATCGAAGTTTCAGCTCCACCCTTGCTGGCTAACCTTTTGACCACCCTCCGTGACAGAAGCACCGGCACCGCAGACTTTCGCAAGGCGTCCGACGAGTTGGCGCAAGTGCTTTGCACGGAGACACTGGAGCGACTGCGTAGGGAAGACGGGCAGGGGTTGATGCTTGTGCCGGTGCTGCGCGCAGGACTGGCGTTGCTGCCCGCGTTTACGAGCGCGATTCTCGATGCGTCTGTCGCCTTCATTGGCATCGCGCGCGACGAGCAGACGGCGCAGCCCGACCTGTATTACACGCGATTTCCTGCGGTGATGCCGCCTAGGGCGCTCATAGTAGACCCGATGCTCGCTACTGCTGGCACGGCATGTCTTGTCGCAGAGTTGCTGATGCGCGAGGGGTTTTCGGCGCACGCTATACACTTTGTCGGTGTGCTGGCGTCGCGGGAGGGTATGGACCGCCTTGCCAGCGTAATTCCGCGCGCAAACATCAGCGTTGTTGCCGTTGATCCGGAACTTGACGCGCAGAAATTCATCGTGCCTGGTATTGGCGACTATGGCGACAGGTACTTTGGCACATAGCGCCGAATCCGATGCGCGATGGGGATAACGACTGCGTGCCGCCGCTGTGGTAGAATTACGGCGCAAACTGTAATGACCACTATTGCAACAATTGCGACAATCATAATTTGAAATGGCAGAGTTTGAAATGGGAGGAATACCAATGAGACCAAACACGTTAAAGCAGAAGCTGGAAGCGGGCGAATCCACGCTGAGCACGCACATTCTTTCGGCGTGGCCCTCGGTGGTAGAGGGCTATCGGGCATACGGGCATCTATGACTATGTGGAGTTCGTAGCGGAGTACGGCTCGTTCGACCTGCACGATCTGGACAACCTGTGCCGCGCCGCTGAGCTGCACAACATGGGTTCGATGATCAAGATTGACCAGAGCCATCAGTCGTTCCTTGCGCAGCGCGGCATTGGCGCAGGCTTCACGAGCGTGCTGTTTACCGACTGCCGCAGCGCCGCAGATGTGCGCGAGTGCATCCGACAGGCGAAGCCGGACACCCCCGGTATTGACGGCATGTACGGCGTTGCCACCCGCCGCAACACTTACATGGGCTACGGTGGTTCCCCGGAGTATGTGGATTCACTTAACGACATAGTAATGGCGGTCATGATTGAGAAGAAGGGCGCTGTTGACGAACTCGAAGAGATTCTGGAGATACCCGAGCTTGACATGGTGCAGTGGGGCGGCTCGGACTTTTCGATGAGCATCGGCAAGCCCGGTCAGCGCAATCACCCGGATGTGGTCGCTGCGCAGAAGAAGACCTTCGAGACGGCGATTAAGATGGGTGTCGCTCCGCGCGCAGAGATCCAGTCTCCGGACGATGCGAAAGAGTATCTTGACATGGGTGTGCGCCACTTCTCCATCGGCACGGACCTGGCAATACTATACGGATGGTGGAAGAGCAATGGCGAGGCGGTGCTGCGTGCAATGGAAGGCGAATAGGCGCTATCTTCTTTGTGCATGATGGGCAAGGTGGCTTCATTATCCTTGCCTAACTTCCAGTGTGCGACTACAATTATATGAAGTGTCGGGGCGTAGCGCAGTCGGGAGCGCGCCACGTTCGGGACGTGGAGGTCGCTGGTTCAAGTCCAGTCGCCCCGACCAATAAATTGCCTAGAATTACGCCGCATCCATTACATTGGCTCGATAATCATTTGTTAATGTAATAGAATGCGGCGCTATTTATTGACAACTCCCGTTGAACTTTGCTAATCTCATTCCTACATAGTGGAGTAATAGCGCAAACGCATTGAAGGGGAGTAGTAGGGAAGGCACCAGCCTCAGAGAGTCGGCGGCGGTGTGAGCCGATGCTAGGGACCTTCCAGAACTCGCCCCGGAGCGCCCATTCCGAACGACAGCGATGTTTGCTGTTTAGTAGTGTTGGTCGGTTGGCAACCGTTAGCAGCCGCCGAGAGGTCCTTTATTGGGACAAATTGGGTGGTACCGCGAGATTTCAGATCCCGTCCCTTTGATGGACGGGATTTTTTGTTGGCAGTCGTCAGCGAGTAACGGAGGTAATCTATATATGAAGATGAATGGCGGGCAGATGGTCTGCGAGAGCCTGATTCGTGAAGGCGTGGATGTGATATTCGGGCTTCCGGGCGGCGCGATACTGCCCCTGTACCAGACTTTGCCTGAGTTTCCAGCACTACGTCATATACTGGTGCGCCATGAGCAGGGCGCGGCGCATGCTGCCGATGGCTACGCGCGCGTTACCGGGCGTCCAGGCGTCGCATGGGCAACATCCGGTCCCGGCGCGACCAACCTCGTTACTGGCATTGCAACGGCGCAGATGGACTCCGTACCGATGGTCGTCATCACAGGACAGGTAGGCAGGGCAGCCATTGGCTCGGACGCCTTTCAGGAGTGCGACACCACAGGCATCACGCTGCCTATAACCAAGCACAACTACCTTGTGATGAGTGCCGAGGAGATTCCCAGGGTAATCAAGGAAGCGTTCTACATCGCAAACACGGGCAGGCCGGGTCCTGTTTTGGTTGATATACCGAAAGATGTGTTCACTGAGGTCGCGGAGTTCGTGTACCCGGATGAGATCGACTTGCCAGGGTACAACCCCACGCTGAAGCCGCATTCCGGGCAGGTGAGACGCGCCGCTAAGCTCATTGAAGAGGCGGAGCGACCTGTGATCCTCGCCGGGCACGGCGTCATCATCTCCAGAGCTTATGACGAACTACTTGAACTTGCTGAGAAGGCTCAGATACCCGTTATCACTACACTGCTGGGTGTGAGCAGCTTCCCGACTGGACACGTGCTTTCAGTCGGCTGGCCCGGCATGCATGGCATGGCGTATGCCAGCCTTGCCATCGAGGAATCCGACTTACTGATTGCGCTGGGGATGCGCTTCGACGACAGAATTACCGGAGACACTAGTACTTTCGCAGTGAACTCCAAGAAGATTCATGTGGACATCGACCCTTCAGAAATTGGCAAGAACATCCCGTGGATGTGCCGATTGTGGGTGACATTAAGCTCGTATTGCAGGGGCTGAACAAGCGCGTGAAGCCGCTGCTGCACGGCGACTGGCTTGCAAGGATCGACGAACTGAGGCGTGAGCATCCGCTGTTGGGCGCAGATTCGTCTGACAGTCTTGAGATGCGGTATGTAGTGCAGGCGATAGACGAAGCGACTAACGGCAACGCGGTTATCGTTACCGGTGTTGGGCAGCACCAGATGTGGGCGGCACAGTATTATTCGTTCAAGCAGCCCAACTCGCTTGTGTCGTCTTGCGGCTCGGGAGCGATGGGCTATGAGGTGCCCGGCGCGATGGGCGCTCAGGTTGGCGCGGAAGACCGCGTGGTATGGTCGGTCGCCGGTGACGGTGGTTTCCAGATGACGATGGTAGAGCTTGCGACCTTGGTTGAGAACAACATCCCGGTCAAGTTCGCCATAATGAATAACAACTCGCTGGGCATGGTCCGACAGTGGCAGGACTTTTTCTATGAGAAGGATCATGTTGCCACCGTGTACAGCGGAAACCCCGACTTCGTGAAGCTGGCGCAGGCTTTTGGCATGCTCGGTATCCGCGTCAATGAAAAGAGCCAGGTGAACGCGGCGGTAGAGCGGGCGATGCTTCATCCGGGTCCGGTCATCGTTGACTTCGTGATTGAGAACGACGACAACGTGTACCCGATGATACCGGCCGGCATGTCGATACAGCAGCTCATTGAGGAGCCTGCTCCCGTGTTTCAGGAGGTGATCTGATGACGATGATAGCCGAAACCAACAGGCACACGATAACCGCGCTGGTTGAGGACAAGCCCGGCGTGCTGAACCGCGTCGCCAGCATGTTCAGGCGGCGGGGATTCAACATATCCAGTCTCGCTGTGGGCAACAGCGAGATACCCAATCTGTCGCGCATGACCTTCGTGGTGGAAGGCGACAGCCGCACGGTAGAGCAGGTAACGAAGCACCTGCACAAGCTGATAGATGTCATCAGGGTCTCCGACATCTCTGATGACAATGCCGTTGCGCGCGAGCTTGCCCTCATGCGAATTCACACGACCTCGCAGACTAGAAGCGATGTGATGCAGATTGTCGACCTGTTCCGCGCTAATGTCATAGATGTCGCCAACGACAGCCTAATAGTTGAGGTCGTGGGCGATGAGGAGAAGGTGGATGCTCTGCAGAATCTGCTCGCCCCGTATGGCGTGATGGAGGTGATGCGCACCGGCATCGTCGCGATGACACGAGGCATGAACGCCAACGGTGGCGGCAGCGGGAGAAACGGTGGCAGTTCCAGAAGACCTACATTCAACGAATCCGGAAGTGTGTAGGCGAATTACGAAAACTAATCAACCTGAAAGGAAAAACTAAATGGCAAAGATGTACTACGAAGCGGACGCCGATATGTCGCTGGTGGATGGCAAGACCTTCGGCATAATCGGCTATGGCAGCCAGGGACACGCCCACGCACTCAATCTGTACGACAACGGGCTTGATGTGATGGTCGGGCTGTACGAGGGCAGCAGCAGCATTGCGAAGGCGGAGGCTGAGGGGCTGAAGGTCGGCATGGTTGCCGAAGTCGCCGAGCAGTCGGACATCATCATGATGCTCATTCCCGACCACCTGCAATCCGAGGTGTACAGGGAATCCATTCAGCAGCACATGCTCCCCGGCAAGACGCTGATGTTCGCTCATGGCTTCAACATCCACTACGACACTATCCAAGCGCCTGAGGGCGTGGATGTGTCGATGGTCGCGCCCAAGGCTCCCGGACATCGCATGCGCGAGGTTTTCACTAAGGGTTCGGGCGTGCCGGGTCTGCTCGCAGTGCATCAGGACGCTACCGGAAACGCGCATGCCGTCGGCCTCGCATACGCGCGGGGCGTTGGCTGCACACGCGCCGGCGTTCTCGACACAACCTTCAAGGAAGAGACCGAGACCGACCTGTTCGGCGAGCAGGCGGTCCTGTGCGGCGGCGTAACGGCGCTGGTCAAGGCTGCATACGAAACACTGATCGAGGCGGGATACCAGCCGGAATCGGCGTACTTCGAGTGCATGCACGAACTGAAACTCATCGTTGACCTGCTGTATCAGGGTGGCATGGGTTATATGCGCTACTCGGTCAGCGACACCGCAGAGTTCGGCGACTACACGCGTGGGCCTGTCGTGGTTGACGCGCAGGTCAAGGAGAACATGAAGGAAGTGCTGGCGCGCATTCAGGACGGCAGTTTCGCCCGCGAGTGGATTGCGGAGAACGATGAGGGCCGCCCAACCTTCTACCGAATGCGCGAGGAGAACGCGGCGCATCCCATCGAAGAAGTCGGCAAGGAATTGCGCGCGATGATGCCGTTCCTGCAGGATGTGGACTAGGGCGATTGTGACACAGTGAGTCAGCCGTTGAACATACAGGCAGTGCTCTTTGACGCTGATGGTGTCTTGCAAAATCCGGTGGAAGGCGGGCGCGAGAAACTCGCTTCCCTATGTGGTTCGGCAGTCAGAAAGGACGAATTTCTTGTTGACTTCCTCCGGTCTGAAATGCCGTGTCTGAAGGGAGAGGCTGACTTCGCAGTTACGGTTGCTGAGGTTCTGAAGAAGTGGGATTCACCCTTCAGCGTTGAACAGGCGATTGAAACACATACGAAGATTGTTGCGATGAACCTCGAGTCTTTAGAAGTAGTTCGTGCCCTGAGAAGGTCAGGGGTAGGCGCTTATCTGGCGACTAATCAGCATGAGTATCGGGCGCAGTACATGTCCGAGGTTTTCGGCTATGCAGATATTTTCGACGGCGAGTTTTACTCGTGCAGAGTGGGATCTATGAAACCGAACCCTGACTACTTTCACTCTGTACTGAAGTCGTTGCCTATACCACCTGAACGACTACTGTTCATCGACGACAGGGAGCGGAATGTCGCGGCCGCACAGAGCGTTGGCATTCACGGCGTTGAGTATGATATGGGAGAGGGTGTGGAGACATTGCGCGGTATTTTGAGGGGCTACGGTCTTGAAATATGCTTGTAGGATGTAAATTAGGGGTATTCTGAAAAAGATGGCGCGGCGAAGACGAACAAGGCGAGGAAGCCTAAAAGACTTGATCGATGCTGGTCTTTTGGAAGTTGACGAAGAGTTGACGTCTGAGCCGCGCAAGGGAGAGCGATATACTTCAACACTCGCCGCCGATGGCTCAATAATATACGAAGGGGAATCATTTCCAAATCCCTCGAACTGGGTGCTGCATGTGGCAGGCAATCCGCGAAATGGATGGGATTTTGTTACAGCGAGGGAGCAAAAGCTAGATTTCTATAGAAAACAGTTTGAGGATGGAATAGAGCCACCACAAGAAAGCCAGCCGGCCATAGTAAAGCCTGAACCTGTTCAGGATGTGCCTCAAAACTACACTCGTCCCGCCGATGCAGATAGTCTGCAATCAGAATTGAATGGCCTGAAATTGCAGATAGCTAATCAGCAGTCAGCAATAGCAAGTCTGAATGCCAAGATAGAGAACCTGTCCATTGCATCACCTGACGATGATACGGAAGATGACATCATCAGGAACTTGCGCGATCGAGTAATGAAACTGGAGCCGGATGAATTCGAGAGACTGATTGGCGAATATCTGAAATACAAGGGTTTCTCAAATGTTGTTGTAAGCGGTCGTTCCGGCGATGGTGGTATTGATGGAGAATGTGGAATACCTTTCATAAATATCAGAGTTGCTTTTCAGGCCAAGCGGTACCAAGTCGGAAGCAATGTTGGTAGTCCGCCTGTACAGCAGTTACAAGGAAGTATGCGCGGTCATTTTGACAGAGGGTTGTTTATTACAACTTCAGACTTCACTATGCCAGCAAGAGGATGGGTTGAAGAAGCGAAGGCACAAATAACCTTGATTAACGGCGATGAACTGCTGAAAGAGATGGTAAGTTTGGACTTGGGAGTGAAGGCTGTCACAGTTGTTAGGCACGAATGGACGAGGGCTTCTTCGCCGATTTGGAGAACAAACAATGACACTAATTCAAGAGACAACAGAAGGGGAGCGACTCGCTAGAGTAGAAGCTACTGTGGAAGCTCTTGTGCGCGATGTGAGTGACCTCCGCGCAATGATGCGAACGTATTTCCACTGGGTTCTCGGCATACTCCTTGGCATATTTCTGCCCATGATGATCGGCCTGATAGCCTCTTTGATAATCCTGCTTCTGAGACTGTAGAAGGAGAAAATACAATGAACCGCACGGAGGCATCATTCGCAGTTCGCCGCGATGACCGGGTCTTGGCATGGCTCGTTCAGGCGGACTGCGTTGTCCTTCGGTAGCCACGTTTCATATTCCGAAATCCGGCTACCGATAACTTAAACACGGACAGGAGAAAGAAATGTCAGACGACAATGTTATTATTTTCGACACGACCCTGCGAGACGGCGAGCAGTCGGCGGGCATCGGGCTGACCACTCAGGAGAAGCTGGTGATTGCGCGGCAGTTGGACAGGCTGGGCGTCGATGTTATCGAGGCAGGCTTTGCTGCGAGTTCACCCGGCGACTTCGAGGCGGTGCAGGCGATAGCGCGTGAGGTGCGCCGCCCCGTGATTGCGTCTCTGGCGCGCTGCGTGCTGCCCGATGTGGACGCCGCGTGGAACGCCATCAAGGACGCTGAACGCCCGCGCATCCATGTGTTCATATCCAGCTCTGATGTGCAGATAATGAACCAGCTTCGTAAGAACCCCGAAGAGGTTATGGACATGGCGATAGCCTCAGTGGAGCGCGCCAAGAGCTACTGCGACGATGTGGAGTTCTCGCCGATGGACGCCACACGCACGGACATCGAGTATCTCTATAAGATGCTGGAGGGCGCGATAGCGGCCGGCGCAACTACTATCAACATTCCCGACACTGTGGGCTATGTCATGCCCTGGGAGTTCCGTGAGCGTATCAGGCTCATCAAGGAGAATGTGCCCAACATCGACAAGGTGACGCTAAGCGTTCACTGCCACAACGACCTTGGGCAGGCGGTCGGCAACAGCCTCGCCGCCGTAGCCGAGGGCGCGCGGCAGGTCGAGGGCTGCATCAACGGGCTGGGCGAGCGTGCAGGAAACGCCGCGCTGGAAGAGGTCATCATGGCGCTGGAGACGCGCAAGGACCTGTACGGCGTCTCCACGAATGTGAACACTCGCCAGATTTACCGCACCAGCCGTCTGGTCAGCGATATCACCGGCTTCGCGGTGCAGCCGAACAAGGCGATAGTGGGCGCGAACGCCTTCCGCCACGCCTCCGGCATCCACCAGGACGGTGTGCTGAAGGATCGTACCACATTTGAGATTATGGATCCGCAGTCGATAGGCTGGCCGAGCAACGAACTTGTGCTGGGCAAGCTCAGCGGCAGGGCAGGGCTGCGGTCACGACTGGACGACCTGGGCTATCACCTGGATCAAGAAAACCTGAACGAGGCGTTCGAGCTGTTCAAAAACCTCGCAGACCGCAAGCCCGAGGTTACGAACGCCGACCTGGTTGCTCTGATGTCCAGCCAGCGCCGAATCGCGGATGTGCCTGCCGTCTATTCACTGGAGCATGTTCAGGTAACCTGCGGCAATCACGATGTGCCGACCGCGACGGTCACGCTTGTTGACAGCGATGACAACTCCAGCACGGACGCCGCCATAGGCACAGGCCCGATAGACGCGGTGTACAAGGCGATCAACCGAATCATCGATGTGCCGAACAGGTTGACAGAGTACCGCGTGGATGCCGTTACCGAGGGCATCGACGCTTTGGGCGATGTTACCATTCGCATCGAGAAGGACGAGCGTGCGTACGTCGGGCGCGGCTCGGACACCGACATCATAGTCGCCAGCGCCAAGGCGTACATGAACGCGCTGAACCGCCTCATTGCCACCGAAGATATGCGCCCCACTGAGGAAATGCCCATCTCCTAGCGCGACGCGCAAGAATTGAAGCTAGCGAGGGCGGCGCAGAAAGCCGCCCTCACGAATATACAATAAAAGTACAGAACGCGAGGTTTTTGAGACAAATGCCACCGAAGACAATGTTCGAGAAGCTATGGGACAGCCATGTAGTCCACGAGGAAGCCGGGCAGCCGACTATCCTGTATGTTGACCTGCATCTGGTTCACGAAGTTACATCGCCGCAGGCGTTCGAGGGGCTGCGTATGACAGGGCGCAAGGTGCGCCGCACCGACCTGACCGTCGCCACCGCCGACCACAACACGCCGACATGGGACCTATCTTTGCCCATCACAGACTCTATCGCAAAGCAGCAACTCGACGCTCTAACCCTCAACTGCGAAGAGTTCGGCATAACGCTCTACGACAGATTCAGTCCGCTTCAGGGCATCGTCCATATCATTGGGCCGGAGCAGGGCTACACGCAGCCGGGCAAGGTTATCGTGTGCGGCGACAGCCACACTTCCACACACGGCGCGTTCGGCGCGTTCGCAATGGGCATAGGCACTTCCGAGGTCGAGCATGTGCTCGCTACGCAGACGCTGCGCCAGTTCAAGCCCAAGACGATGGAGATTCGCGTCAACGGCACGTTGCCATTAGGCGTTACCGCCAAGGATGTGGTACTCAGTATTATCGGCAAAATAGGCGTTGCTGGTGCGACCGGCCATGTCATTGAGTACACCGGTGAGGTGATACGCTCGATGTCCATGGAAGGCCGTATGACCGTCTGCAACATGTCAATCGAGGGCGGTGGGCGCGCGGGCATGATTGCTCCGGACGACACTACCTTTGAGTATATGCGCGGACGAGCACAGGTGCCGCAGGGCGACGACTTCGATGCTGCAGTCGAAGAATGGCGCAATCTCGCCACCGACGAAGGCGCTGTATATGACAGCCTTGTCGAGATTGATGGCTCCGCTTTGGAGCCGCATGTAACCTGGGGGACGAACCCGGGCATGGTTGCGCCGGTTACGAGCCGCGTGCCTGATCCCAACTCTTATGAGGACGCAGGCGATAAAGAGTCGGTGGGGCGCGCCCTGCAATACATGGGGCTTGAACCGGATACTCCGATACAGGACATCAAACTGGACAGGGTGTTCATCGGCTCATGCACGAACTCGCGCATCGACGACTTGCGCGCCGCTGCCGAGGTCGCGCGAGGGTCGCAAGGTGAATGACAATGTGTACGCGATGGTCGTTCCCGGCTCAGCCGCAATCAAGAAGCAGGCTGAGGAAGAGGGCTTGGATGCTATCTTCAAGGACGCAGGCTTCGACTGGCGTGTGGCAGGCTGCTCGATGTGCCTAGGCATGAACCCGGACATCATTCAGCCGGGTGAGCGCTGCGCTTCCACATCCAACCGCAACTTCGAAGGGCGGCAGGGCAAGGGCGGACGCACGCACCTAGTCAGCCCGGAGATGGCGGCTGCGGCAGCAATTGCCGGGCACTTCGTTGACATCCGGGAGTGGTAGGTCAGCAGGCAGACCGTGAATACGAAGGGCTTGAAGAGCGGTGTGCTTATTCTATCTGTTCTGGCGGTGTTGCCGTTTCTAATTCTGGCATGCGGTTCGCAGCAACAACAGGACGGCGTGCAGCTCTTTGCCGATAACTGCGCGCGCTGTCACGGTGCAATGGCAGACGGCACGAATACCGGGCCGCCCCTGGTACACAGGTTGTACGAACCCGGACATCACGCGGATTTTGCCTTCCAGAGCGCCGCTAAGAACGGAGTTATAGCGCATCACTGGGACTTCGGCGACATGCCGCCCGTCGCTGGGGTGTCAGAGGCCGAAGTAACACAGATTATTGCCTACATAAGAGATTTGCAGCGAGAGGGCGGCATTATTAGATAAATACCTTTGGAGGAAGAGTGAACCAGGGTACAGAGGCAGAGAGCCGAGGATTTTATCGCAAGACTCGAACTTGTCGAGGGAACGCACTATACGAAAAGAGAAACCCAATCAAGTGCGTATAGACTCTATGCGATCCGTCAAAATGGCACAAAAAAGATGTTTGGATCAGTCAGGCTTAATGTTGGAGGGCAAGATCCGGGTAAATTAAATGTGTATGCCAATAAAGGCTTTTACGACCCTGAGGCACGATTTACTTGCCAAGACAGTAACCCAAAGGATTGCCACTACAAGTTCTGGCCAGACGACGAAGAGGCAATGGAATACGCCGTGCGCGCCGTTAAGTCTGCTTATGGAAACAAAATACGATAACGAAAGTATAAAACAAACTGGAGATTTCAATGGACCCATTCGTAAAGCATGAAGGCGTTGTTGCGCCGATCAATCGAGTCAATGTTGACACCGACCAGATTATCCCCAAGCAGTTCCTGAAGCGCATCGAGCGCACCGGTTTCGGTCAGTTCCTGTTTAATGACTGGCGCTTCAACGAGGATGGCTCAAACAAACCCGACTTCATCCTGAACAAGCCCGGCTATGAAAGCGCGTCCGTGCTCGTCGCAGGTCGCAACTTCGGCTCCGGCTCGTCGCGCGAGCATGCGCCCTGGGCACTGCAAGACTACGGTTTCCGATGTGTCATCGCGCCTAGCTTCGCCGACATATTCTTTAACAACTGCTTCCAGAATGGCTTGCTTCCTGTGGTATTGCCCGAGGATGTCGTTGAGCGGATTTTGGAGAAGGCTGAGGCTTCGCCCGGATATACGCTGAATGTTGATCTTGACGGGCAGCGCGTATGGGACAACGACGAGGAGATTTCCGCGACATTCGAGATAGAGGCGTTCCGACGCTACCTGCTGCTCAATGGCTTGGACGACATCGGCCTCACGCTGGAACAGGATGACGCCATAGCGTCCTTTGAGGCTGGCCGTAGTCCGCACGGTGGCACGCTCACTGTCGGTCGTTAAAGGCGCAAAGGCATAGACACAATTGCCTGTACCCGAATCAGACCCTATCGTAGTCGCTCCCACGCCAACGCCATTCGCTTCGGACGATGCCGTTGACTACGGCGCGCTGGAACGCAACATTGAGCGCTGGCTCGCAACACCGCTTTCCGGATTCGTACTGACGACGGCAAACGGTGAAGAGTTGGCGCTCAGCGAGGCCGAACGCATTGAGATCGTGCGCGTTGCTGCTGCCGCACATGGGGGAAAGCGTTTTACGATTGCGGGCATTGACAACCCGTCCACGTTAGATACTCTGCGCTTGGCTGATGGATACGCCGCGGCAGGCGCGGATCTGGTTCGCGTTCGCGTACCGAGAGGTCTTTCGGATGCTGCGGTCGGGAGTTACTTTGATGCAGTAACGTGCGGTGCTCCTCTGCCCGTCGTGGTCATACATCAGACCTTCAGCGGCGTGCCTGCCGCCTCGCCGGAAGTTCTTGGCGCCGTCTGCGCTATGGACAACGTATTCGGATACATCACTGACCACGACATCCGCTTCGAGGGATATGTGCGCTCTGAAGTGCCTGATAGCAGGCGCTTCTGGATATGCAACGGCGGCTTGCTTGCGTATGGAGCGCTCATGGGCGCAAATGGCGCATGTATGTGGCTGGGCAACATCGCGCCGAAGTTGTGCATGGACATCATGACGCTTGGCTCACTGGGGCGGTTTGCCGATGCGCGCCGACTTCAGGAATCTGCTTCCGCACTTGACCGCACCATCATCAAGCACGGCACGCCCGGAGTTAAAGAGGCGCTGCGCCTTCTAGGTTTCGAGGGGATGCGCCCCCGTCTGCCGATAGCCCGCGTTGATGAAGACGCCAGCGCTCAAATTCGCGGCGTACTTGTAGCCGAAGGCCTGCTGGAATAGGACGCTGGTCGGAAAAGCCGCCCGCCCTCAGTCGAACATCGCTGCGCTCTGAGGTGGTTCGGTCTGTTCAGGAGATTGCCGACGCGCTATGCGACGGACGCCGCTTGAGACGAATCCCTGCAATGCGCTGGCTTCCCTGTTGATGGCTGCGCGGAAGTACGAGCTGTACTCACCCATGTTCCTGAACTTCTTGTAACGGTCTTTGAGCAAGTTGCGATTTGACTTAGACTGAAGGTCGGACAGCTCGTGCAGCAGCACCCGTCTGAGTTGGCGCGCCGCCTCGTCGGGGTCGGTGTGCGCCCCGCCCGGCGGCTCCTGCACTAGCAGGTCAACGATGCCGTATTCGCGGCAGTCGTGCGCGGTGAGTTTCAGCGATTCCGCGACTTCTTCGGCGCGTCCTTCATCCTGATAGATGAGCTCCGCCGCACCCTCGGGTGAGATGGTGGAGTAGATTGCGTTTTCCATCATCAAGACCCTGTCAGCCACGCCAAACGCAAGTGCCGCCTCACTGCCGCCCTCACCTACGACCACCGCGATGGTTGGCGTGCCTATGCCACTAAGACGCGCAATGGTGGTGGCGATGGCGCTTCCAAGCCCGCGTTTCTCTGCTTCAAGGCTGACATCCGGACCTGTGGAGTCGAGCAGCGTTACGATCGGCAGCCCGAACTTTTCTGCCATATCGAATGCCCGCTGTGCCTTGCGGAAGCCTCCCGGAGAGACACCTTTTCCCGATGTTCTGTGCCGCTCTTGACCCCACCACCATTATCGTCTGTCCGCCCAACTGACCGAATCCGCATATGACCGACTCGTCGTCCGAGCTTGTGCGGTCGCCGTGAATTTCTACAAAATTGCTGAACACACTTCGAATATAGTCCGACGACGTAGGTCTGTCTTCGTGGCGCGCCAGTCGAACATAGTCCCAGGCGTCCGACTGTTGCGGCTCCAGCAGCGTTTGCTTCGATCCCTTGTCCGGTGAGGTCAGGCGATACTGCTGCCCCAGAAGGTCGAGCATGATTGCAACCAGAGTGCGCAGTTTTGAACGATCAACTATGCCGTCAATGAATCCGTGTTGCATGTGGGACTCGGCAGTCTGCGAGTTTCTGGGGAGCGGGTCCTCGGTTGCCTCCTGGAGAGCGCGCATCGCTGAAAATCCTACAATCGCCTCCGGCTCGGCTATGATAATGTCAGCCAGGCTCGCGAAACTCGCGTAAGTCTGGCCCGTTGCCGGATTCGCGAGTATGACAATGAACGGCAGACCCTTCTTGGCGAGCTGAACTGCTGCGATGGAAGTCTTAGCCATCTGCATCAGAGACAGTATGCCTTCCTGGAAGCGCGCGCCGCCGCTTGTTATGACCGCGACCACAGGTAGATTTCGCTTGGTGGCTTGTTCGAGCGCGAGCGCAATCTTCTCGCCGACAACACATCCCATAGTTCCGCCCATAAACCCGAAGTCAAGCGCAATTAACATCACAGGACTTCCGCTTATGGAACACCTGCCGGTTACCACAGCCTCGGTAAGACCTGTGCGACGCTGATCCCTGAAAATCCGCTGCTTGTAAGACTCTCGTGAGGAAAATGACAGGGGGTCCAGCGATGTGACTGAGCGATTGATCTCGCGGAAACTTTCGGTATCTGCCAGCGAGTTAATGCGCTCGCGCGCCGTCATACTGTAGTGGAAGCGGCATATCGGACAAATACGCAGTCTGGGCGTACAGATCGGAGAATGCCATGCTCTGGTCGCAAACAAGGCATATCTCGCGTATGGGAGGCTCAGTGGGTCCGTTGCGACTGCTCATCACGGAGCTGACGATACTGGTGAAGTTAGGCATCATAGCACCCGTTCTCACTCTCACGCAGACCGCTTCACGCAACTGCGCTTCGTATTCCCCTTAGGCGAGGCTTGCCTAAGGCTTGTGGCGAGAGTGTAACCAGACTAACACTTCACAAGTATCGGAAGGGATGCGAGTTACGCCACACTATTAATTATAACATCTCTTGACTTGGAGCCATCGCCCGCGCTCACTACGCCGTTCTCCTCCAGTTCATCCATGAGTCGAGCTGCGCGTGGGTAGCCGATACGCAATCGTCGCTGCAACAGCGAGGTCGAAAGTTTCTTCTGTGTATGCGCTAGTTCTACTGCCTTGTCGAAGAGCGCATCCGTCGATGCCGAGAAATCGGCATCGGAATCTTCAGAATCGTCTTGGGATACAGGGCGCAGATTGACGTTGGGTACCCATGCGCGCGGCGTAGTCTGCCAGAAGTCTATGAGACGGTCGATCTCCTTGTCAGATATGAAAGCGCCCTGCGCGCGCATCGGCCTGGCGGCATCACGCGGCAGGTAAAGCATGTCGCCCTTGCCCAGAAGCTTCTCGGCGCCGTTGGTGTCCAGGATAGTCCGCGAATCAATGTGCGATGTTACGCCGAAGCTGATGCGGCTTGGGAAGTTTGCCTTGATGAGCCCGGTGACTACATCTACGGACGGTCGCTGTGTTGCCAGTATCAGGTGAATGCCCGTGGCTCGACCAAGCTGCGCCAGCGGCATAGCGACTGTTCCACATCGAAGGCGGCTGTCATCATCAGGTCAGCAAGCTCGTCAACGACCACGAGTAGAAAAGGCATCTTATCGTCGCGCATGCGCTTGTTGTACCCCTCAATGTTGCGGACGCCGATCTCCTCCATCTGGCGGTATCGTGTCATCATCTCGTTTATGACGCCCTTGAGCATACCGACTACTTGATCGACCTCCACGATGACAGGGCAGAGCAGGTGGGGAATGCCATTGTACGGCGTAAGCTCTACGCGCTTGGGATCCACGAGGAGCATGCGCATTTCAGCGGGGGAGCGTTCCATGAGCAGCCCCGCGACAATCGCATTTAGGGCGACGCTCTTTCCTGAGCCGGTCGCGCCTGCGATGAGCAGATGGGGCATCTTGGCGAGGTCGAGCGCAATGTTTTCGCCTCCCGTACCCTTGCCCAGCGCAACCGGCAGATCGGCTTTCGGGCTCATCTTCTTGTATTCTGACTCTCCATGATTGAGCGCAGCGTCACGGGCGCGGGCTCTTTATTGGGTATTTCGATGCCAACCTGAGCCTTGCCCATCACGGGCGTCTCTATTCGCAGGCTCGGAGTGCGCAGAGCGAGCGACAAGTCTTTCTCGCGCGACAGGATGCTGTCAACCTTGACTCGCGTCTTCTGTTCTTGTCGCTTGACTACCTGCTTGCCATTCTGGTCCTTATTGGGTTGCCGAACTCGTCCTCGAGCTTGACCTGCTTGTATCGCCTCACCCAGCCGGGAATTATTCCGTACATCGTGACCGTAGGTCCGTACTTGATATTGCCGATCTCCACCTCAATATCGTAATCCGCAAACGTCTGGCGAATGGTCTCCGCAGTCTCACGGATCTGGTCCTCCGGCACGCCACGGTCCTGCACACTCTCCAGCATCTCGATTGACGGCTTCGCCCACTGCTCTCTGTTCTTGCCGAGAAGTCGCACCGCCAGACCTGAAAAGCCTCCCTCTTCCTCTTGCTGGTCGTACTGCTGTGAAATATCTGAAACGGATTCGACTTCCTGGTATTCTCCGCTGTCAAAGTCGTCGAAGCCGGAACCGTTGACGTGTTCGAGCTCTACGCCATACTCGTGTGTCTCGGCGTCAGCGAGCACGGCCCCATTGGCTTCGCGGGAATATCCAAAATCGAAATCCGTATTGGCTTGCATACTGGTTTCCTCTCGTTCTAGTAGTTCGGCAATGGCGGCGTCCTCTGGGTTCGCAGTACGCGAGGCACCGTCCGGTGGGGACTCACCAATGGTGGATTCTATTGAGAGTGGGGCGGTGGCGACCGCCATTGCGAATCTTGAAACCGGACGATTGTAGTTGTCGCCTGGATCGTCAATTTCTGCCTCCGGCCTCGAAGAGTCGTTGTCAGCGAGGGTGCTTTCATACGCAGAATCTGTTTCGCCAAAGGCGTCTTGCTCTTCACTGGGCTCTCGCTCCCCTGCGATGAAACAGTCTTCCGATACCTCTCGCGGCAAGCACAATGCCGATATAGGCGAAAGTGAACAGCCGTCCGACCGTTATTGCAAATAAAGCTGCAAATGCCGGAGATAGGATGGATACGGCGACAATTGCCAGAGCGCCAAGTCGTATTACTCTCTGCCAGAGCACCGGTCCGGCTATCGTCTCACCCACCAAGCCTCCCAGAGAGACATAACCCCCAAGCGTGAACCAGGCAAGGCTACCTTCCAGCGGCCTGAATAGTGACAGTAGCCCGAATGTCAGCGCGAGAAGCAGCGCCGATGCAAGCCAAAGCCTGTAATGGCGGAAGAGGCCGGGCTTGAAAACCAACGCAGCCACAAAAACTCCCGCCCAAACGCCAAGCGGCATCATGCCGGCGCCCATCATCATTGTTGAGCGCTCTTGGGCTTGTCCAGAATGCCTCTGTGATGGCTTCTTTCACAAAGAAGATTGCTGCCACTACGGCTATGACCGGTATGACAAGCAGTTCATACCAGGTAACTCTGGATAAGAAGCGGAGAAATTTTGAGGAACTGCCCGTGGTTGACAGTGGAGCTGAAACTGCGTTGTTTGCCATGTGTCTGACCTCGCCTGATGAAACCGATATATTCGTCTCATAAGGAGCGGGTCAGGAGGTGAAATTACCCTGGCAAGGCACCCTTGAGAGGATGAACTCGCACCGGATAGGTAGCAGACTAGTCTAGATATACTCTATGACCGTGAGAACCGTTGGACGCCTGCCAGTCTCTTTGTGTAGGAACTTTGAGATTGAATCCCTGACCCTAGCCCTTGCGTTGTCTAAACTTAAGGCCTCGGTACCCATCTCTTCTAGTGTTGCCAGTGCCATTTTTGAACTTTTTTCAAAAAGTTCTAAGGATTCGTCCAATTCTACAAAGCCGTAAGAGACAATTTCAGGATCAGAGAGGACCTCGCATGCGCTCACACCAATCGTAGTTGCAACAACGACAACACCCTCCCTGGCAAGGCGTCTTCGTTCGCTGAATACGCTGCTGTCCATGTGCCAGAACGTTCTTCCATCAACGAATACATGCCCGGCAGCCACTTTGTCAACGACGACGGCCTCTTCCGAAGTAAGCGCTAAAACATCGCCGTCTTCCAACACGAAGGTATTCTCTTCGGGCATGCCCATGGAGCGGGCGAGCGCAGCGTGTGCTACGAGGTGGCGGCGTTCCCCATGAATCGGCACGAAGAACCGAGGATTGACCAGACTCAGCATGGTCTTAAGCTCTTCTTGACTGGCGTGTCCATGCACGTGCACGGTGGCAATGCGGCTGTAAATGACATTGGCGCCTTGCCGGAAGAGGTTGTCTATGGTCTTGGCTACGACCTTTTCGTTGCCGGGTATTGGAGACGCTGATATGACGACCGTATCCCCAGGCACAACTTCTACATCGCGGTGTTCGCCATTGGCTATTCGCACAAGCGCCGATGTCGGTTCGCCCTGGCTGCCGGTAGCCATAATTATCACTCGCTCGTGAGGAAGCCGGCGCGCTTCGTTCATCGTAACGATCGTGTCCGGAGGGGCGTTCAGGTAACCCATATTGGTCGCCATCTTGACATTGTTGCTCATGCTGCGACCGACTACCGTAACTTTGCGGTTGTGTCGCACGGCGGCGTCCATGACCTGCTGCACGCGCGATATGAGAGACGCGAATGTGGCTATCATCACTCTGCCGGGTGCCTCGCCGATGGCTCTGTCCAGCGCTTCCCCTACAACCTGCTCGGATTCGGTGTACCCCTTCACTTCCGCGTATGTGGAGTCAGAACACAGAAGCAGCGCGCCGTCGTCGCCTGCCAGCCTTGCGATTGCGGCGAGATCCATTGAGTGCCCGTCAGCGGGTGTATGGTCGATCTTGAAGTCCCCGGTGTGGATAACCGTTCCGATGGGCGTGGTCACCGCAATGCCCATGGCATCCGGGATGGAGTGGCAGACTCGGAAGAATTCGATGCGGAAGCAGCCCAGCCTGAAGGGCGAGTGCGGCTCGACCACATTCAGCCGGGCATTTCTTATGAGGCCACGCTCGCGCAGCTTCACCGATATTAGCCCATGCGCGAGCCGCGATGCATATATGGGCACATCCAACTCAGGCAGCACGAACGGAAGAGCGCCTATATGGTCTTCGTGTCCGTGCGTGATGAGGATGGCGCGGACTCGCTCCTTGTTCTGCACGAGGTATGTGATGTCAGGGATGCCGAGGTCAACGCCCGGCATGTCCTCTTCGGGGAAAAGCAACCCCGCGTCGATGACGATGATATCCTCATCGAACTCCAGAGCCATCATGTTCTGGCCGATTTCACCCAGGCCACCGAGAGGGATTACTCGTAAGAGTGAGTCTGAGTCTGAATGCTGTGTGATAATTAGGCCTGCTCTGCTATTACTTATTCAGACTTGATTATACTCCATCTGACCTTGGTGATGCTGAAATGCCTCGCAACATTGTCCTAAGCGGTCATTAGCCGCGTGCGTATATCTGAATGCGGTGGCGATTGCTTTCAGTGACGAAGACGCGCCCTTCTTTGTCAAGCTTGATAGAAGTGGGCGCCCAGAAGAGCTTTTCTATGTGGGAAGACTCCTCGTGCGGGTCGTCATTGAAGAACTCGATGTCAGGCTCCAAGTTTGCGTTGGCGCGTGCAGCAGCCTCCTCAATATTGATATCCAGGAAAGCGTCCGCCCACTTGGAATCGGTAGCCTCACCTCTGAGGCTCTGCACGAAGTTTCCGTCGGAATCCAATATCTGCACGCGCTCATTGCCCCAGTCGGCGACATAAATGTAGCCTTCGTCGTCCACCGATACGCTGGCCGGACGGTGGAATTGACCTTCGCCCCGTCCGGGCTCACCGACGCTGGCAATGAACTCACCATCGGGCGAAAACTTCTGGATGCGATCGTTGCGCCAGTCAGAGACGTAAATGTCCCCTTCGCCGTCAATGGCGATGCCCCAGGGCAGATTGAACTGACCTTCGCCGTCTCCCTCCGAGCCAAAGGAACTTAGAAAATGCCCGTCGCCGGTAAACTTCTGCACTCTGTGATTCTGATGATCAACGACATAAACATTGTCATCGCTATCTACAGCCAGACCGGATGGGCCGTCCAATTCACCCTTTGCGGTGCCTAGCGTGCCCCAACTCGGCAGTGGGTTGCCTGATGAGTCGAAGCGCGAAATGCGGTTCAGATACTCGCAGGCGATGTAGGTGTTGCCGACACTGTCCCTTGCTATCGCTGTTGGCCAGACAAATTGGCCGTCTCCTTCACCGTACTCGCCGAAGGTGGTGAAGTAATTGCTGTCAATATCATAGATGGTGACGCGCAGTCCTCGGTTGTCGCCATCAAGAGAACGGCTCACCGTGTAGATATTGCCCTCATCATCGAATGCGGTGTCCACGGGGTAATAGAAGCCGCGTCCGGCCATCGTTGAGAGGCCAATGGAATGGCTGTACTTCAGGAAGTCGGTCTTCTGTGTAGTAGTCATCATTGCACCTCGCGGTAACGTTTGGATGGATGTGAGAAATATCGGATTGTCTGCCTGATGAAGAAAGCGTCATAGGTGGCTACGTTGGGGTGTCCCAGATGCGAGTCAGGTCCAAAGTAAAGCCCGGCAGTTCTGGCTCGCCTGAAACCGAGTTAGCGTCTTCCAGAACCTCGACTTGAGCCTGTGGCCGGTAGATGTACACTAGCTTTGGGTCTGCCAGAGGGTCAATCAGCCAGCCGAGCCGCGCGCCGTTGTTCATGTACTCTTCCATCTTGGCGCGGAGATCCGTGAGGCTGTCTGAACTTGAGCGCAGTTCAATCACGAAAGTCCGGGCATATCTTGAAGAATCCAGTGCGTTGCTCTGATGTCAGAGCTTCCAAGCGTGAATTGCTTATCCATGAAGCATCGGGGGAACGCAGCGCGCCGTTAGGCAACTTGAAGCCAGTAGATGAGTCATAGTATTTGCCTGTACCGTCTCCTCTCGCCCAATTGCCTAAGTCAATCGTGATGTCTGCGTTTCGATTCCCAGTGGTGCCATGTGTGGGAGGCATTAGTATGATTTCACCTTCGGCTGATCGCTCGATACGCAGGACATCATTCAGCGCGCAGAACTCTGCGAACTGCTCGTCAGTCATATCAGTAAGCGGTCTGAACTTGATGACGAAGGGTTCTACCTCCGCCGCTCGAACCAAAGTCTGCGTCATGGTGTCTCCCCTGCTTGCAGAAGAAATCGAAGCCGGATACACGGCGCACAAGGGGAATGAACTCGCCCATTTCGATACGGGCGAGTTCATCTATGGGGATACTATGCCCGTTGGAATTCGTGGCACGCCGCTATCATCTGGAACATCTGGGCAATGTGCTCCTGGGCGGCTTCGCTTACGCTGTCTGCGTCCACTTGCAGGTCGCCGCGCTTTGCCGCGAAGTTCTCAAGTGCCTCTCTAGTGTCTTCGGAAACCGCTACAACTCCCATAGCGTCCAGGCAGGCGTCAACCAGCCTTGCCGAGGGAATCAGCCCGTCGCTCTCGGATGCAACGCGACGGATCATGGATTTGACGCCCGGCTTGCTCACGTCGCCAAGCTGAGCGGTGGCGAAGTTGAGGCGTTCCACAAGCGTGCCGGTGTCTATCCATTCCATGCCCTGATGCCAGCCTTCAACGCTGGGTGGGTTGATGAGCTGCTGACCCATATAGCTCATCTGCATGGCTCTATCAAGGATTTCGCGGCGGGGTCGGTTGAACTCCCCCGTCAATCGCAAGGTGCTGGCAACCAGCTCGGCGGGACTTTTCACCCTGATGAAGCGTATGTCCTCGTCGTCCTTGAAGAAGTCGGACGTGAACAGCGTCTCAAGCATAGCGGAGATTTCGTAGCCGCTGTCGAAGTACGCGTCCATGAGATCTTGGATTGCCTCCGGGTCGCGCGGGTCGTTGTAGGGCCAGGCGGGCACAGGCGGCTCTTCGGCTACGAAGAAGTCGTATAGATGGCGTGAGATAAAGCGGGCAGTAGCCTCCTGCTGGCAAATGATATCGATAATGTCTTCGCCGTTTAAGTTACCGGTCTGGCCGAGGAATGTCTTCTCGCCCTCGTCGTGGTCCTCCGGCTTGTACTGGAAGTGCCAGGCTATTCTGCCATAGGGCCATATGGAATCACGCTCTCCTCTAAGCGCCATGTATTCTGTATTGCCTAGCGTCCAGCCCGTAAATGCGCGCGATGCCTCCTTGATGTCATCTTCCGAATAGTTGCCCACGCCAAGGCTGAACAGCTCCAGCAGTTCGCGGCCATAGTTCTCATTTATGGCGCCCTTGTGATTGTCGTGATTGTCCAGCCACACAATCATTGCCGGGTCTCTCGACAACTCGATGAGCAGTGTCTTGAAATTGCTCATTCCGTACCTTCGGAACATGCGAATCTGGTCGTTGAGAACCTTACCCTGCGTAATTTTTGGATAGCCCGTCGCGAAGACGGAGTGCCAGAAGAGCGCCATCTTCTCTGTCAGCGGCGCCTTCGTGGAAATCATCTTGTACAGCCAGTAGGCGGCAGGATTTACCTGTCCCATCATCCCGGACTGCTCATGATGGTAGCGTCTGATGATGTCGTCCGGCATTGCAGAATAGTCGCTTGGGTTGAGCAACTCAGCGACAACAGCGTCATAGCCCTTGGCCTCAAGTTCATCGAGTTCGTCTCGCGTTGCGCCAAATGCGGCGCGGCGCATTAGGTGTCCAATCTGTTCAACTGCCTGTGTTGTCTTGACGACCATAGTGCCCTCCTTGCGGTCTTATTTTTGTACTCGAAAATGGCTGGCATATCCACAGGTTACACCTATGGACATTGCGCGCAGTATAGCACATGAGACGCCATTTTTGGCAATTGATCAATTGCTGTTTTGCGCGGAGTCCACTGTGCATTCGTCTGCGCTCTTACTCTACGTCGTAATAGAGCAAATCCCGCTCCCGCGCCTCCTTCGAGCGCTTGCTGAATCCTATATTGTGCCCAGTTTTACCTTACCGGCGATTGCAAGTATAATTCGCGCATCTACAGCGCCACCCAAATCCGAGAGGAGACATCACCATGCAGTTCGGATTGCTATACGAGACTCAGCGCCCATTTCAGGGCACTGATATTAACTGGAACAAACTATATAAGGAAACCTTGGAACAATGCGAACTTGCCGATCAAGTGGGATTCGACGCGCTTTGGTTCGTGGAGCATCACTTCCTGACCGGCTTCTCCGGCTCCCCATGCCCGGAAGTTCTGTTTGGTGCGCTCAGCCAGATTACCAAGCAGATTCGCATCGGCTTTGGCGTATCGATCTTGCCGCATGCGCACCCCGTACGAATCGCAGAGCGAGTCGCGATGGTTGACCAGTTGACCGACGGGCGAGTCGAGTTCGGCACCGGGCGCTCAAACGCCTACGAGCAGCTCGGTCTTGGCGTTGACCCGCGCGACACCCGTGATATGTGGAGCGAGTCCATCTCCATGCTGCCTAAGATATGGCAGTCGGACGAGTTCGAATATGAGGGCAAGTTTTGGAATGTTCCTTCACGCCGTGTACTGCCCAAGACATTCCAGAAGCCGCACCCACGAATGTACCTAGCCTGCACCTCGGAGGACAGTTTCCGCCTGGCTGCGGAAAAGGGCATTGGTGTGCTGTCGTCGGCGTCCTACGCCGTCAACGTGCTGAAGGACAAGCTGAAGATTTACCGCGAGTCGATCGGGAATACCGAGCCTGCGGGCGCGTTCATCACCAACTTCTGGGGCAATAATGTCCACGGCTTCTGCGACGATGACGACCAGTATGCCAAAGAGCTTGCCGCCGAGTCCATGAAGACCTTCTTCGGGCCGGACAAGCCTTACATACAGGGGCGCATCGGTGCTTATGAGCAGCTTCTGGAAGACTGGGGCGGTGTGCCCGATCACTTGCAGGCGGACTTCGGGCGCTGGCTCCGACAGTCGGACGAGGCACATCAGCAGCAGGCTGCCGAGTGGGCATCATCGCTCGACTCAGGTCCCGGAGCCGCGAGAGCGGCCATCGCTCAACTGGACGCCAATGTTCTTGCCGACCGCGGAGTCATCATCGCGGGCAACCCGGAGAGTTGCTGCGCGCAATAAAGATGTACGAAGAGATCGGCGTTGACCAGGTACTCATCATCATGCAGACCGAGACGATCCCTCATGATAAGGTGATGAGTTCCATCGAGAAGTTCGGCAAGTACGTCATTCCTGAAGCGCGGAACGGCGCCAAGGACAAGCTGGAAGCGGTAATGGCTGCCGACTAATCTTGTCAAATCAGTTAGCCATCACTGCATGCCTTGTGACATGCAGTGATGGCTGATACCTAAATCCTGAAATCTGACACCTTTATCAAAGGAGAAATCCCTATGCCCAAGTTCGTGTTTATGCCCCCGCAAGACGACGAAAGGCGAATGTTCGCCGCCCGTCTCGCGGATACGATGGCCGACTACGATGTCGCTTCCCCGGAGACGGACGAGGAGGCCCTTGAGCAAATTCGTGACGCTGACGCAGTTTATGGATGGGTCCCGCCAGACGCCCTGAAAGTTGCTGAGAAACTGAGTTGGATGCAGAATGCCGAAGCTGGACCATTCTACGGATACTACTATCCGGAGCTAATCGAACATTCCCTCACGATGAGCAACCCGCGCGGCATATACTTCGACCATATATCGCACCACATCCTGATGTTCCTGCTGGCGCTGTCGAGAGGATTGCCATGGTATATGGACGCGCAGCGGCGCAGGGTCTGGGACAATAATGCGCGCAAATCGCCGTATATAGACCTGGCACGAGCGACCGCGCTCATCAACGGTGTGGGCGGCATCGGACATGAGACGGCCCGGTTATGCAACGAACTCGGCATGGAAGTCATCGGAATCGATCCCAGACGGGAGTATGACCTACCCTATGTAGAATTCCACACGCCCGACGAATTGGACGATGTTCTGCCTAGGGCGGACTTCGTGATAACCACCGTCCCTCACACGCCGGAAACCGAGTTCACATTCAACGCAGCGCGTTTCCGCCTGATGAGGAGCAGTGCCTATTTCATCAATATCGGAAGAGGCATGGTCTGTAAGATTGACGACCTAGCTGACGCCATCGAAAACGGTATCATCGCAGGCGCCGGTCTGGACGTGTTCGAGCAAGAGCCGCTGCCTCCGACCACAAGTTGTGGGGATTGCCCAATGTGCTGATAACGCCACATGTTGCCGTCAGAGACGCCGAGAACATCCCGAACGCGATTCGAAAAATACCTCGACACGCCGTCGCTTTCCGCGGTGAGGAGCTTTGACCAATGCTGTCGTGGATAAGACGAAGTGGTATTAGAAATCTGTAAATCGAAATTTACGCAGGACGAATTCTGGACGATATAACACGAACTGATGTAAGGAGCAATCCCGCACATGAAAATCACATCCGTTACCGCTTTTCCTGCTGCCGGCGCGCCTCGCGGTATGGCTCGCAACTATATGTTCGTGAAGATCGAGACCGACGAGGCATTACGGGCTGGGGCGAGGCTACTTCGGGGCCGCTTGCGGTCGCTTCCATGGTCGAAGAGTTCGGCAAGGTGCTCATCGGCAAGGACCCGCATCGCATCGAAGAGCACTGGCAGACGCTGTATCATCACTTCCATGTGCGCGGAGGCGTGGTGCAGATGTCGGCTATCAGCGGTATTGAAATTGCGCTGTGGGACATCAAGGGCAAGGCACTCGGCGTGCCGGTCTATCAGCTACTGGGCGGCGCGATGCGCGACAAAATCTGGTGCTACGGCAGGTGGGACGGTCTCACCGTCGAGGACGCCGTGGAGAATGCTCTGCGTCACACCGAGCAGGGACTTACCGCGCTCAAGGGCGATCCCTTTGACCATCGCGGTCTGTTCATTCCCATCGAGGCAGAGCGCATCGCCATCAAGAAACTCGCGGCCGTGCGCGAGGCGTCGGCGACGATGTGGAGTTGCTGGTCGAGGTGCATGGAAGGCTTGCGCCCGCGGACGCTATCCGCATCGGCAACGCGATGGAGCAGTACCGCCCGTTCGTGTATGAAGAGCCTGTGCCGCCGCAGAACTTAGATGCCTTGCAGCGCGTCGCTGAGCAGGTCAACATCCCGCTTGCCACCGGTGAGCGCCTGTACACCAAGTGGGACTATACGGACCTTTTGCAGCGGCAAATCGTCAAGATGATTCAGCCGGACATCGTGCAGGGCGGAGGCATATCTGAACTGAAGAAGATTGCGGCGATGGCGGAAGCACACTATGTCGGCTTCCAGCCCCACAATCCCTACGGCCCGCTATGCACCATAGCGTCGCTACACCTTGACGCATGTGTGCCCAACTTCATGATACAGGAGGGTGGCATTCATCCTTGGTTCCAGGACGCATGTACAGGCGACTTCCCCGTGCAGAAGGACGGCTTCCTGCCGCTACCGACTGCGCCCGGAATCGGAGTGGGCATGGATGAGGACTGGCTGAAGGCAAACCCGTGGCGTGACGACGCAGCCGTGTGGCGTCCGGCAGATGGCACTATCGCCTCAATGCAGCAGACGAACTGGTCGTAGCGCGCTGGTTTCTCATTATCTTGACACTCATGGGTTGCCGTTGCTAGTATCGGCAAGGCTTCACATCCACACGGAGGCAGTTTTCTATGCAGACGGCAGCAGGTGCATCAGGGTCGCTAGCGCGCAGGTCGGGCGAGGCTCTGATAGGCACACGCAATCCATCATTGATGGACGCGCTTTTCCCCTCGCTTACGACTCTCCAACGTGCGCTGTTCGCCCTGGCAGCAGTGGCAGTGCTCGCAGTCTTCGGCAAGTTGCACTTCTATCTTCCTGACAATCCCGTGCCCATCACACTTCAGACCGCCGGCGTGCTTCTGATGGGTGGCTTCCTCGGACTTCGCTGGGGACTGCTCGCCATTGTCGTTTACTATGCGCTCGGAATGGTCGGTGCGCCGATGTTCGCCAGCAGAGAGTTGGCATGGGACATCACCAGGGGCTTGAACGCCGTCATGGGTGTTACGGGCGGTTATCTTATTGGTTTCATCACCGCCGTGCCGATAATTGGCTTCATGTCCGAGCGTGGCTGGATTCGTGGCAAGAGCCTCTGGACGATGCTACTGGGCAACCTGTGGATATATGTGCCAGCTTTGATATGGTTGTCGATTTTCGATTTTGGCTGGCCTGCCCAGGGTGAACTGTTCGCGGGTGCGGTGTACCCGTTCATACCCGGCGACCTTGTGAAGTTGATGCTTGCGGCCGTCGTAATCGGCGCGGGCTGGACTATCGCCGATCGCAGAAACAGGTCAAGGCGTTAACGCCCACCGGCGCATGAGTGAAGACACAGCCCTTGCGGGTGTCCTACCCCTGTCCGACTTGACCGTGGTCGAAGTCGCGGAATCCGTTGCGGGTGCGTTTTGCGGACGTATGCTGGCTGCATTTGGGGCACGTGTCATCAAGATAGAGCGTCCACCCAATGGCAGTTGGACGCGCTACGCCGAACCGCAGTTGAACGGTTATCAATCCCCTGAGTCCGGTGCGCTCTTCCTGTACGACAATATGGGCAAGGAGAGCGTTGTTCTTGACTGGAAGAATGCGGACGGAATGGCTTCACTGCTGAATCTGGTGAGCGACGCCGATGTTCTCATAGACGACTGGCAGCCGAAGACGCGCAGGTCCCTTGGAATAGACACTGATACACTGCAATCTCTGAACCCTCTGCTGGTCAACCTGTCGCTGACGCCGTTCGGTTTGAGCGGTCCTTATGCCGACTGGCAGTCCTCACCTCTGGTGAGCCTTGCGCTCGGCGGATATCTTTATCTCAGCGGAGAGGAAGACCGAGAGCCTCTGATGCTGCCGGGCTACCAGGCGCAGCGCCTGACCGCTATGAAGGGATACGCAGGGTTGATGCTTGCATTGCGCGCCCGCGAAATGACGGGCAAAGGACAGCCGGTCGAACTCTCCGAGATGGAGGCATTGGCGGCGCTGCACCAGTTCACTTTCGTGTCGCACCAATACGATGGCATCATTCGCAAGCGCGCCGGTGTCAGGCTGGCTACTGGGCGACGTACTGGCGGCTACCCAATAACAACGCTGCCGTGCAAGGACGGATACATCACCTTCTCTGCGTCTGCGCCGCACCAATGGGACTACGTCTGCGCAATGATTGGTCGGGAAGACCTGCTTATTGACCCTCGCTTTTCCGCGTTCCAGAGCCTGAAGGACGCTGCGACGAGATTGACGAGATACTTCTCGAATGGGTGGCAGACAAGACCCGCCAAGAAATTGTGGAATTGGCCGCGGGCGTCTATTCCGTGCCTGCGTCGCCTGTGTTCGACCTTAGCGAGACGGTGCAGGACAGCCAGTACATCGAGCGCGGACTGTTCGCTAAATTCGACCATCCGCAGGATGGCGGTACGACCTTCCCATTGGTGCCTTTTCACATGAGCGTCACTCAGCCTCGATTCAGTCCTGCACCATCGCTTGGCGAGCACAGCGGATTGATGGTGGCGGCGCGCGATAAGTCGAGAAAATCAAAGGTGAACGAAGGGGCGGTAAGTCAAAAGCAGGCAGAAGAGGGCTTGCTGAACGGCATACGCGTCATAGACTTGACGCGCGTATGGGCAGGTCCCCTCGTCGCTCGTATCCTAGCCGACTTCGGCGCGCATGTAGTCAAGGTGTCCGATCCACGCACCCCTATCTGATCGCACCAGAGGCGTTGACAACAAACACAACCGCAACAAGGATAGCCTGGCTCTTCGCTTAGACCTGCCGAAGGAAGGGATGCTTTCCTTGAACTCGCCGCTGTGTCCGACATCGTAATCGAGAGCTTCCGACCGCATGTGATGAACAACTTCAAGCTGGACTATGAATCTCTTCGAAGGTTCGCCCTGACATAATAATGTGCTCAATCTCAGGCTACGGCTCACAGGGAGCAGCCGCAGAGTTTCCCGCGTACGGCACTTCCGTCGAGTCCATCACCGGCGTTCCCAGTCTTATGGGCTACGAGGGCGAGATGCCAATGACTTCCGGCATAGCCTACCCGGATCCTGTCACTGGCATGAATGCTGCCGCTGCTATAATGACTGCGTTGCGTCATCGCACATCGACAGGTCAGGGTCAGTACATTGACCTTGCGTTGGCTGAGGGCCCGGTGTGCCAGATCGGCGAATACATCGGCGCTTACGCTCACAACGGAACTCAGCCTGCACGGAGCGGCAACAGTCACTATAAGCATGCCCCGCATGGAGTCTATCCGTGCTTGGGCGACGATAGGTGGTTGGCAATTGCCGTAACCTGTGAAGAACAATGGCACGCACTCTGTCGAGTAATGGGTGCGTTGCGCTTGTTGGATGATGGACGCTTCCGCGTCGAAGTGGCTCGCAAGACGAATGAGGCGGCGCTGAATGACATCATCTCGTCCTGGACGGAACAGCGGGATGCTATTGAGACAATGCATGCATTGCAAGGGGCCGGAGTCCCGGCAGGCGCAGTACATAGAAGCATCGATATGCTTAATGACCCGCACCTGCGCGAGCGCGACTTCTTCGTAACGCTGGACGAGAAAGATGTCGGGTGCAAGACATATCCGGGGCAGGCAATCATCACCGACGGCCTTCCAAAACAGAATTGGAGGGCGTCAGTCCCGCTGGGCGAACATAACGAGTTTGTGCTATGCGACCTCTTGGGACTGACGGTAAATCAGACCGGCATTAGGCAGACCAGCATTAGACATTTGAAATCTTTAGAAATAAGGTGGCGCAAGGTTGGCAGAAGTAGCAGTTGAAGCCCCGATAACCGGAGTTATAGTCGAGATAAGCGTTTCGGTCGGCGAGGAGGTCAGCGACGGCGATCTGCTCGTCGTGATCGAGTCCATGAAGATGGAGAACGAGATTCTCTCTGAATATGACGGCACAGTCAAAGAGATTCTCATTCGCCAGAACCAGAACATATCGCAGGAAGATCCGATGCTGATACTTTCGGTGGAGTGAGAGGCCTGTGTTTGACAAAGTTCTGGTGGCAAACAGAGGCGAGATAGCCTGCCGCGTCATCCGGACCTGCCGCAATCTGGGCGTCAGTACGGTGGCGGTCTATACGCCGGCAGAAGGCAGGCCTATGCATTCTGATCTGGCGGATGAAGCCCATGTGCTGCCCGAAAGTGCCACTCCCGCGGGCGCATACTTAGATGCTGGTGCCATAGTTGATATAGCGGTGAATAGTGGGGCAGATGCCATTCATCCGGGCTATGGCTTTCTGTCGGAATCGCCTGCACTCGCCGAAAAGTGTGCGCAGCACGGTATCGCCTTTGTGGGGCCGCACCCCGAGCTCGCGCGTCTCATGGCGGACAAGTGGGCTGCGCGCAAGAAGATGGCGACGCTCGGCGTTCAAGTGTTGCCCGGCGCGCGAGTGGATGCAGACGATCAGGAATCCGCCACAGCCGCCATTGAGGAAGTTGGCTTGCCCCTAATCGTCAAGGCGATAGACGGCGGTGGCGGAATAGGCATGCAGGTCGTCGAGAGCGAATCGCGTCTGCAACGCGCACTGCGACGCGCGAGCTCGTCGGCATTGCGGGCATTCGGTAGTCCTGAAGTCTATATCGAAAAGTTCATTACTCGTGCACGTCACATCGAAATTCAGATAATCGCTGACGAGCATGGCAACGTCAGGCATCTCTGGGAGCGCGAATGCTCAGCCCAGCGCAGACATCAGAAAGTCATCGAGGAGGCTCCTGCGCCCTGTCTGCCGGATTTGCTGCGTCAGTCCCTCGTGGATATGTCGGTGAAAGCGGCGCGTGAGACTAACTATGTCGGTGCAGGCACATTTGAGTTCATTGTTGATGACAGCCATTCGGCATACTTTCTTGAAGCCAACACGCGCTTGCAGGTCGAGCACGGCGTTACCGAAATGGTTACAGGGCGTTGACATTGTGGAACAGCAACTCCGAGCTGCTGCCGGAATGCCGCTATCTCTGGACGCCGATGTACCATTCAATGGCAATGCGATAGAATGCAGGATATACGCCGAAGACCCGGAAACGTTCATTCCGTCACCGGGCACGCTGGACATATTCGATCTCCCGACTCTGCCCAATCTGCGAATCGACAGCGGCTATCGCAAGGGTGACGAAGTAACTCCGTTCTTCGACCCGCTGCTCGCTAAGCTCATCACATGGGGGCAAAGCAGGGGAGACGCATTGAACCTCATGACGGAGGTCCTTGCTGTCAGTGAAGTCGTCGGTGTCAGCACGAATATACCTACGCTGCGCGCTGCACTGAATCATCCAGACTTCGCTGCTGGCAAATACACTACTGGACTTATCGAAAGCTTGCCGCGCTGAGCAAAGAACCTCGAATAGCGTTGCAGCTGCCCCGACCATATAATTCCAACACTGGGGCCCAATACTGGGGCCCAACACCGAGGGACAGGGAGGCAAAAGATGCCAATAGATAAAAGCCGCGAGAGTTGGAAGCCCGGCATGCCTTGGGAACACGCCGTCGAAGACATGAAGTATGTGCGTGGCCTCGCCGCGGAACTCGGTGGACCGGAGCGTGTGAAGCGGCAGCACAGCGGTGGGCGGTACACTGTGCGCGAACGTATTGAAAAGATGGTTGACACTGGTAGCTTCCTTGAAGCGGGACCGATGGTTGGCGCGGCCGAATTCGATGACGATGGCAACTGATAGAGTTCACCCCCGGCGCTTATGTGATGGGACTCGCTGAGATTGACGGTCGCCCGGTGGCTATCGGTGGTGACGACTTCACTATATCCGGTGGCAGCCCGCACAATGTGCGCAAGCACTCTCGCCAGTTCACTCAGCCGCTTGCCACGCAGTACGGTATCCCATACATACAGCTCGTTGAAGGTGTAGGGCATAGCGCCAAGGCGGACGAGGCTGCTGGGCACATGGGCTTGCCCGGCGGCGATCTGTGGTGGAAGGGCGTCGAGCTTATGAAGCGCGTCCCGGTTGCCGCAGGCATCATGGGGTCGGTCGCAGGCGCACCCGCAGCCTTCGCGCTTATGTCTCACTTCACCGTAATGGTCAAGGATCAGTCTCAGATATTCCCATCAGGCCCGCCCGTCGTGCGCCGCGCCATCGGTGAGCAGATGGACAAGGAAGAGTTAGGCGGCTACAAGCGCCATGTTCACGAGAGCGGGCAGGTGGACAACGAAGCCGAGTCCGAAGAGGACGCCTTCGAGCAGATAAAAACTTCATATCTTATTTGCCGAACACTACCAACGATGTCGCGCCGCGCGTGGAAACCGGCGACCCGCCTGACCGTCGCCCCGAAGAGCTGCTGAACATCATCCCGCCCAACCGTCGCCGCGGCTATGACCCGCGCAAGCTGATTCGGCTGGTCGTGGACAATGGAGAGTTCTTTGAGATGCGCCGCCATTGGGCAGGCTCGATAATAACCGGCTTCGCCCGCCTCGACGGTTACAGCGTGGGCGTCATCGGACAGCGACCCGATGCGACTTGCAGGCGCGATGGACGGCTGGGCAGCAGAGAAGTACGCGCACTTCGTTGACCTGTGCGACGCGTTTAATCTTCCGGTCGTCATATTCCTGGACATGCCCGGCTTCATGCTCGGCTCACATGCAGAGCGCATCGCCACCATGCGGCGTGGCGTGCGCGCCCTAATTGCCAGCGCTGAGGCAAAAGTGCCCAAGATAGAGTTCAACATCCGCAAGGCGTATGGAGTCGCGGCAGACGCGGCTCACAGCCTGGGACATCCCGACGGCTTAAACCTTCGCTCGGCTGGCCTGCGGGTGAGTGGGGCGGCATTCCCATTGAGGGCGGGGTCGCGGCAGCATATCGCCGCGAAATCGATAACGCTCCGGACCCGGAGGCGCACCGCGCAATGATAGAGAATCGACTGCTGAAGCTGCGCTCGCCATTCCGCGCTGCGTATCGCGGCGATGTCGTTGACCTCATCGACCCACGCGAAACTCGCCGCCTGGCATGCACATTCGTCAAGCTCGCCCAGCCGATGCTCCAAAAACTTGCACAGCGCGAGAAGCGGGCGGTGAGGCCATAGCGGGCCGTAGCGGGGACTGCGTTCTAGCCGAACGCCTCCGCCATAGCCTTCTTGTCGGTGCCCACGATTAGCCGTCCTTCGACCTGAATGAGCGGGCGGCGAATCAGGCGAGGCTCGTCCACCATCAGACGAACCAGTTCGTCGGTGGATACCGTGTCCTTGTCGAGCCCTAGTTTTCGCGCTGAGGGGCTGCGCCAGGAGAAGACATCCGCAGGAGGCGTGTCGCCTAGCAGGTCGCGCAGCTCTTCCTCGGTAAATGAGTCCTTGAAGAAGTCTCGCTCGTTAAGTTCCACACCGTCTTGTGAAAGCGACGCTTTCACTTTGCGACAAGTGCTTCAACGGGTCCATGTGTAGAATCCTACTTCTGCCATCGTGAAACCTCCTCCTTAGTATATGATGAACCGGAATGCGCCGTTCTGTGCGAACCGCCGTCTTGCAGCCTGCATCCAATTGGTTAGGAGGGCATGAGAATGCTGTTTATTCGCTACCTGCCAATTGGTGTCCTACTTTTTGCTGTGGCCGCGTCACTTGCTTGTGCATCTGAGCCGACGCCCGCACCGACTGCCACGCCTCTTCCACCGACAGTTGCGGTGCCGACTTTGCCACCTGCCGCGACCCCAACATCTCAGGCTGCTGCGACCTCGACGCCTCAAGTCGCTTCCACGTCAACGCCTATACCCTACGACTCCAACAGTGCAATGTACAAGGTGTTTCCGGGCTTTGGTCGCACCAGCAATCAGACATATGATGCGCTGGACGAGGTGCGAATGAACAAGGACAAGTCGATGGTGCCCGTGTTGGTGGAGTCGATGCGCTACCAGTCCACCGCGAATGCGCGGGACGCTACGGCGTATGTGCTGGGCGAACTTACGGGGCAGCGTTACGGCGGCGACGACTGGAAGGGGTGGATGGAGTGGCTTGGCAAGCACCGTGACGAATACCCGCCGCCCGATGACTATCTGGACTGGAAGATAAACTTCATGTCCCAACTCAACCCGCGCTTTTCCACGTTCCTGCGCCCCGCGCTCGAAGGCGACATTACCGTTGACCCTACTGAGATAGTCTGGGGCGGCGTGGACCCCGACGGAATACCGGACATCCGCGATCCGAAGATGCTGACGCCGGATGAGGCCGATTTCCTCAATGAAGATGATCGGGTGTTTGGTGTGTCCATCAACGGGGATACGCGCGCCTATCCGCTGCGTATCATCAACGCTCACGAGATGGTGAACGACACGGTGGGCGGTGAACCGATTTCGCTAGCGTGGTGAACGCTGTGCAACAGCGGGATCGTGTATTCCGCAAAAATCAACGGGGAACCAAACCACATTCGGCACATCCGGCATGCTCTATCGCAGCAACAAGGTGATGTATGACCGCCTGACGGAAACGCTATGGAATCAGCTCCGGGGCGAGCCTATGGTCGGCGAACTTGTGGGCAGCGGCATCAAGCTTGAGTATTTCCCGGTCGCGCTCACCACATGGGGCGAGTGGCTAGCCGAGTATCCTGATACCAAGGTGCAGTCGCGTGAGACGGGCTACTACTCGACACGGAGCTATGAGAGCGAGGTTGACAGCCGCTCTATCTACTTCGCATACCGCGAGGATCCGGAGACGATGTTCCCCATCTGGAACCGGGAACGAGCGACTTGTGCCCAAACAACTGGTGCTGGGCGTGGTTGCTGAGGGTGCGTACAAGGCTTACTCTATTGACGCGCTGCAGCACGACCGCGTTGTGAACGACAACGTGGGCGGCGCTAACCTGGTAGTAGTGGCATCTTCACTGTCGGCGGATGCGCTTGCGTTCCGCAGCGAAGGCAAGCAATTCTCGCTTCCGGATGATGCACCGGAGAGCCTGCCGGATATGCTGCTCGATGAAGACGGCGATGTGTGGCATGTGGAGCGGGACAGGCTATGGAAGGATGATGACCCGGCACAGACACTGTCTCTGCATCCCGCAAATGTGTCTTTCTGGTTCGGATGGTACATAACTCACCCGGATACGCTATTATACGGGGCGACGGAGGGCTGATATGGACACACAAGATACGAACGACAGGGCAGAGCAGGTGATGGCAGTATTGCGTCAGCGATACGGTGACCGCTTAGACGAGCAGGAACTTGAAGAAGTGGGTGAGGCGGCGAAGGCAATCGTTAAGGCGTCCGAGGACATGCGAGCCGTCGAGTTGGGGCATGGCGACTCGCCGTTCAGCCTGCCGCCATATCGCAAAGACTGATTTCTGACTTGGACAGGGAGAGCGTCATGACGGTCAATCCGATATTCATGCCCATTCGTGAGTTGGGCGAACTTGTGCGCCAGAGGCAGGCATCCCCTGTGGAGATAGCCGAGATATTCCTGCAGCGGTTGGACAGCATCGGTCCCCGCTACAACGCAGTAGTGACGGTTACGCGGGAGCGCGCTATGGAGCAGGCGCGCCGAGCCGAAAGCGAGATTGCGGCTGGCGACTACAAGGGTCTGCTGCATGGCATCCCCTACGGGGCGAAGGACCTGCTGGCGACTTCCGGCGGTATACCGACTACCTGGGGCGCTGCGCCCTTCAGGGAGCAGGTATTCGACTATGACGCGGCTGTGGTACGCAGGCTGGAGGAGGCGGGAGCGCCATTGGCGGCGAAACTTGCTATGGTGGAGATTGCCGGCGGTATGGGTTACCGGCAGCCGAACGCATCGTTCACGGGTCCTGGGATGACGCCGTGGGGCACCGATGCGTGGTCGGGCGGGTCGTCGAGCGGGTCGGGAGCTTCGGTGGCGGCAGGGCTTGTGCCATTCGCAATAGGCTCGAGACCTGGGGATCGATACTCTCGCCTGCGAACAATTGCGGGCTGTCGGGGCTGCGTCCCACTTATGGGCGCGTGAGCCGTCAGGGGGCGATGGTGCTGTCCTGGTCCTTGGACAAGTTGGGGCCGCTTTGCCTGACTGCCGACGACTGTGGCATCGTGCTGGAAGCCATCGCAGGCGCGGATGCCGATGACCCCTCTACAAGCGATAGACCATATCGGTATGACATTTACGCTTCAACAGGACGCAGGTTCAAGCTGGCGGTGATCAAAGATGTCACGGAGGGGGCGCAGGCGGAGGTCGCCGCGAATTTCGAGCGGGCGTTGCAAGCGCTGGAGGATGTCGCGGACATCGAGGAGATAGAGTTCCCGGAGATGCCATACGAGGCGGTTACGCGGACTATTCTGAACGCAGAGTCGGCGAGCGCGTTCGAGGAGTTCATCGAGAGCGGCGGAGTGTCGGGGCTGACCGCGCCGGAGTGCCACCATCCCCATGCGCGGTCTGATGATACCGGCGCAGGACTACATACGGGCGCTGAGGATACGCGGCAAAGTGGCGCGCATCGCGGACGAAGTTATGGCAGGGTATGATGCGGTAGTGGGACCGACACGGCCAGTTACGGCGACGCCGATTGATCAGGACTTCCGTGGAGTGGTGGCAGGCACGGCTCGCGACACCATGGGCGCAGTAGGGAACAGCGCGGGATTGCCCGCAATAAGCGTTCCGAGCGGCTTCTCTGACGAGGGGCTGCCAACTGGAGTGCAGTTCATGGGGCGGGCATACGATGAGAATCGCATACTGGCGGTGGCGCGGGCGTATCAGTCAATGACCGACTGGCATACGCAACATCCGCCGGGGCTTACTGCCTAGCGACAACTCATTCGGAGGCGCTCCATGTGATCTCAGTTTCACTTGGGTGCGCCAATATCTGAACGCTTGCACAGACCTGCTGCCTGCAGTTGGCATCGCTGAGTATTAGCTACTGCTGCGGGCAACTTGCCGACCGGAGTCTTCACGCTGGAGTTGTTCCAGTTCATCAACCGGGATGTGGCAGTTTATCATGTGGCGCTCGCCGCCGGGACCACGCTGTTCAGGGGGCGGCTCGTTGTCGCAGATGTCGCCTATCTTCCTTGGGCATCTCCCCGCAAAGAAGCAACCCTTGAAAGCGGAGCGTAGTGTCGGCACCGAGCCTTCGAGTCGTATGTGCGTGGGTTCGGCGTCCGGATCCGGGACGGGCGCAGCGGAGAGGAGCGCCTCTGTGTATGGGTGAGATGGCGTGGATAGAACCGCCTCTGAAGGACCGTACTCTGCGACATGCCCCGCGTACAGCACGAGAATATCGTCGGATACATAGCGCACGACGCCGAGATCGTGCGTGATGAAGACATAGGAGTTCCCGGTCTCGCGCTGGTGCTGTTCCAGCAAGTTAAGCACCTGCGCCTGCACCGATACATCGAGCGCGGACACGGCCTCGTCCGCGACCACGAGGTCGGGGTTGGCGGCGAAAGCGCTGGCGAGCGCGACCCTCTGCTGCTGACCGCCACTCAGTTCTGACGGCCGTCTGTCGAGGTAAAGGGGATCTAGTCCGACGGCGTTCATAAGCTGCTCGGCGCGCTCCTGGCTTTCGGAGTGGCTGACGCCTGCGAACTTCCGGAGCGCCCTGGTAATTGCGTGCTTTATGGGCAGCTTGGGATTTAGCGAGGAAGTCGGGTTCTGGAAGACCATGCGCATCGAAGATCGCTGGTCTTCGGTGCGGTCTCCAACATCGCCTTCCAGGGCTTGACCGCGCAGTTCGAGCTTGCCGCCATCTTTGGCCTCAAGCCCCACGATTGCGCGCGCAGCGGTGCTCTTGCCAGACCCGCTCTCGCCGACGATTCCAAGGGTGCGACCGCCCTCGACCCGCATGTCCACATCAACGAGCGCCCGCACCGGCCGGCGCACGGTCGGGCCGAACAGGATGTACTTCTTGCGTCCGCCGCCGTAGAACTTTCTCAGGTCTTCGGCGTTGAGTACAGGCGCGGCATCGTCAGGCTCGGGCTTTAACAGCCTTTCGCGCAACTCGCCCCATAGGTCTTCGGTGACATCGGAGTGATAGAAGCAGCGGGCTGTGTGGCCGTCCGATACCTGAGCAGGCAGCGGTGACGACTGAAGGCATGCGTCCTTAACGAGAGGACAGCGTGGTGCGAATAGGCAGGAATCTGTCTGCGCGCTCTGCGCGTCGAAGACTGAGCCGGGTATGCTTCTGAGCTGTCGCTCTATGCCATCGTCGCCGGGCGGCTGTGGAACACATGACAGCAGCCCGACTGTGTAGGGATGCCGAGGGTTCTTGAACAACTCTCGGACGGGGGCTTCTTCGACTATCTCGCCCGCATACATGACGGCTACTCGGTCCGCCACTCTCGCTATGACGCCGAGGTTGTGGCTGACGAAGAGTATGCCCGCGTTGACCCTGTCCTTTAGCTCGACTATCAGGTCGAGGATTGTCGCTTCTGTGGTGACGTCGAGGCCGGTAGTCGGCTCGTCCATAATCAGCAGATGTGGGTCGCAGGCGAGTGCCATTGCTATGACTACGCGCTGCTGCTGGCCGCCGCTCAACTGGTGAGGATAACGCCTTCCCATGCGCTGAGGATCTGCTAGACCGACGCTCTCGAAAAGCTCGACGACGCGTTGCTGCGCGGCCTCGGCGTCCAAGTCGAGATGGTGCTTAATGACCTCTTCTATCTGCGGACCGACCCTCATGGAAGGGCTGAGCGATGTGAGCGGGTCCTGATAGACCATAGCAATGCGATTACCCCTGAGTTCACGCAGTTCCGCGTCGCTGAATTCGGCAATATCCATGCCCTCGAACCGCACGGCGCCCTCGACCCGAGCGGTGCCCGGAAGGTAGTTCATCATGGCAAAGGCGACCGTAGATTTGCCGCAGCCCGATTCGCCGACAAGTCCGAGTACCTCTCCTCGCGCGATTTCAAGGGACGCGCTGCGCACTGCGCGAAATGCCCCTCGCGGCGTGAGGAAAGTTACGGCAAGGTCTTCAAGTTGTACGAGCGGCGCTTCCGCGATGTCGGCGTGGTTCGCATGGTTCATATATCTATCACGCTCCGGTTTCGGGGAGGTTCTGCGCCTGCCTTATGCCGTCGGCGAGCAGGTTTATGCCTACGACGAGTGATGCCATGGCGATGCCGGGCGAGAGCGCCGCAAAGGGCACAATTCCGATGTAGGGGAAGTTCTCGCTTACCATCAGCCCCCAGTCGGAGGAGGGCGGCTGTACGCCAAGACCGAGGAAGCCAAGCCCTGCGGTCAGCAGCAGCGCGAAGCTGAGCCGTATGGTTGCCTCGACTGCCACGACTGGCAGGATGTTCGGTAGTATCTCGCGGAACATGATGTATATCGTCGGTTCGCCTCGGAGCCTGGCGCTCTGCACGAACTCAAGGGGTTTGATGGAGATCGCAGCGCTTCTTATGACGCGGCTGTTGTTGGGCATGAACGAGACGCCGATCGTCAATATGACGAGCCACGATTCGTCTAAGCCGCTGAACCATTGCCTGCTCATATTGATTATCAGGATGGCGAGCAGGAGCGATGGGATAGCGAGGAACCAGTCCACGAAACGCATTATGGTTTGGTCGATCTTCCCGCCGAAGTAACCGCTGCTTATGCCGACAATCGTGCCCAGCGTTACGCCGAGGACAGTGCCGACGGTGGCTATCCAGATTATAGAGCGAGAGCCTGCAAGGACCCTGCTCAGTACATCGCGCCCTTTGTCGTCGGTGCCTAGCCAGTGTTCGGCGGTGGGGCCGCTGAAGCGATTTGGCAGGTCATAGTCGGTAGGCGGATAGGGCGATATCCAGGGGCCCGACACCGCTACTATGAGGTGAGCGAGGATTATGACAAACGCTATGCGTCCGGTGTTGGTGCGGAGAATGAGCGCTAGTCCACTTAGGGCTGCATTCTTGGCGCGCCCCAAAGCAGGGACTAGCCCGCTTTCCATCTCCGGTTGCAGTGTGGAATCTTGAACTGCCATTATGCCAACCTCACCCTGGGATTGAGCCAGCCGTAAGTGAGGTCGGCGGCAAGGTTGCTGAATGCGTACACTGCCGCAATCACCATAGCGGTCGATTGAAGCATCTAATATCCTGCGTGTTTATCGAGGTTATGAGTAGGTTGCCCATGCCGGGGTAAGCGAAGAGGTTCTCAACGATGATGAGGCCGCCGAAAAGCCAGCCGACGTTGTTCGCTATGACGGTTATCGTGGGCAGCATCGCGTTGGGCAGGACATGCCTAATAACCACGGTTCGCATTGGCAAGCCTTTGAGGATCGCGGTGCGGACGTAGTTGCTGCCCATTACCTCAATGACATTTGCGCGCGCCATCCTGAGGATGTACGCGAACAGGGCGCCGGTAACGGTGAGAATGGGCATTATCAGCACTTGCGGGTTGCCGATTATTGTTTCGCCGGGCAGCATTATGCTGGACGAAGGCAGCCATCCGAGAGTTGAGGACAGCACCAGCACAAGCACCACGCCGGTGACAAACTCGGGCAGCGATATGGTGACGAGCCCACCTAGCGTGAGGAATCGATCCCAGAAGGTGTCCGCCTTGACGCCCACAAGTACACCCATTATCAGCCCGAGCGGGACGGCGATGCAGAATGCCCCGACGGAGAGGAGGGCGGAGTTGAACAGCCGCCCTCCGATGATTTCGGAGATGTCCTTGCCGGTCGCGGCCTTGCCGAGGTCGCCCTGAAGCGCGCCGCCTATCCAGCTCAGGTATCGGATGTGTGGAGGCTTGTCCAGCCCCAGGCGCTCGCGCAGAGCCTTGAGGTTGTCCGGCGTCGCGCCCTGTCCTAGCATTGTGGACGCGGCATCGCCCGGTGAGAACTCAATCAGGGAAAAGATGGCTACGGAGACCGCCAGCAGCGTCACCACGATGAGGGATATTCTGAGAATGAGAAATCGTGCCATGCCGTATCCGTCGCCAAGATTGTCTTATGGAGATATTGATCTTTGATTGCTGCCGGCGAGCAGCAAATTTTCGAGACAACTCCTACTCGCCGGTCTTTGTTTCAGCTTATGGTTATTTGACCCACCATTCTTCGATGAAGAAGTGGGCGTTCGCGGCGTGCGCCTGAACGCCCCCGATATTGTCGCGGTGGGCGACTATTACGGGCGTGTGTGCGAGATATAGCACAGGTACATCCTCAATCAGTATTTCTTGCATCTCGCGGAAATACTCCTTGCGCTCGTCAAGGTCAGGGGAAGCTGCGGCTAGGTCAAGCAGTTCGTCCAGACGCGAGTTGTTGTAGAACGATTCGTTCCAGACAGTGCCGCCTCTGAGCTGCACATCTATGGCTGCGTTCGCGGGTCTCGAGTTCCAGTTGCTGGTGACGAACGGGCAGCAGGGGTCCATCCACTGCCCTTCCCAGTACGGCGCAGCGTCGTGCGTTACAAGGTCGACAATTGATACCCGCCGCGGCCACGGACTCCTGGAACGCCAGCGCGGCGTCCTGCATAGCGCCGATGTCGGCGGTGTTCAGAACGACGTTGATGCCGTCAGGGTAGCCTGCCGCCGCGAGATATTCCTTCGCCTTGGCGATGTCCTGCTTGATGATAGGCTGCTCGTCCCAGTAATACTGGTCGTTAATGCCGACAGGATGGTCATTGGCGGGCGAGCCGCGGCCGAACTGCGCCGCCTGAACGATAAAGTCGCGGTCAACGGCGTACTGCATTGCCTTTCTTATGTTCTTGTCCGAGTATATCGGGTCCGGGATGCCCTGGAACTTCGCCCACTCATCTTTGCCCTGAAGATGCGAATATCCCACATGCATGTCGATTACGAGAACGCCTGCCGTGGCTGTTTCCGACACTCGAATGTCGGGATTACCAGCGAAAGCACCCAGCTGTGCTATCGGGGGTGTAGGAACCACATCTATCGCGCCGGTCTTGAGCGCCTCCACACGTGTTATCTGCTCTGGCATGTAGAAGAAGATAACCTGATCGGCATATGGCCTGCCTTCACGCCAGTAGTCGGAGTACTTATGGAATACAGTGCGTTCCGTTGGGTTGTGCTCTCCGAGCGTATATGGGCCGGAGCCGTGCTCGGCATCAATAAGTGCGTCATTTGAGACGCCGTTCTGGACAATACGCGCATGGTAGTCGGTCAGGTCTCCGACCAGAAATGCGTTGGGCGCGCCCAGGTTCAGGACGACAGTGCTATCATCCGGTGCGTCAATGGTGTCAATGTAGGAAATCTGGCCCCTGAGCGGTGAAGCGGAGTCATCCCCCCTGATGCGGTCGAGAGTGAACTTTATGTCGGCGGATGTGAGGGGATTGCCACTGTGGAAGGTGATCCCATCGCGCACCTTCAGCGTGTACTGCGACAAGTCGTCGCTGGAGGACCATGATTCCACTGCCCAGGGCGTTACCTCGCCGTCGTACCAGTACATCGTGGCGTTGTCATAGGTGATTTCACCATAAGGTGCTGACCCCTGAGACAGACCGGCGAGCATCGGGTCGAGCGTGCCCTGGTCTATCATGCCTATTCTGATGGTGCCGCCATTTACGGGTGCGTCCCCCATCGCCATGGCCGGTACGGGAGTGGCGACCGCCCTGTCAACAATTTCCTGCACCTGCGCAGCGGTTATCTGCCCTTCGGTCGCCATCTGTACGGCGGCCTGGATGTCCTCACTGGTCAACGTGCCCGCCTGGGCATCGCTGACGGCCATCGTTATGGCGGACTGAACGTCAGCGCCCGTCACGGCGTCGGCGGTCGCGGCGTTGACTGCGCTTTCAACCATCGCTTGAATCTGTTCAGGCGTCGCGCCCTCGGAAGCTGCGCCCTCGACCGCGGCTTGCACCATCGCCTGAATCTCTTCGGCGGATACTTCAGAACCGCCCGCGTCCATCATGGCCGACTGCATGGACGATTCGACCATGGACTGGATTTCCGCCGCGGTGACCTGTGGCTGCGGCGCGGGTGCTGACTGCGCCACTGCATCCGTCACGATGCTACGAAGCTGAGCTTCGTCAAGCCCTGGGGCAGGGGCAGGCGCCGAAGAGCAGCCGACAGCCGCGAGAGCGACTATCGACATCAGGGCAACAATCAGGGCAAACGACCTTGCCCTATTACGACTTAACATATTGTCTCCTTTCGGGGCTATAATCTCATTTTGTACTTTTCCAATACAACGTTCAATAAGTAAGTGAACGCTCGCATTCAGGACTTTCGCACTCCAATATACATAATTAGGGATGTATAGGTCAATAAATGAAAGAAAAGAAGTGAGGGTCTGTTCCACATTCAGGAACAATCACTCACTTCTCTCGCTTTGCTATCTCGCGCTAAGCGGTTACAAGTCGGCAACGCCGCAGTTGAATATATGCCAAAGCTTGCGGCTGTCACCGACAGGCAAGTCCTCGCTGCCGAAGTGGTTCAGAGTGTTGACCGCCTGAATAAGCCCGTAGAACTGCAATGCCGCGGCTTTGAGATCAACATCCCCGCTGACCTCGCCCTTCTGAACGCCGACCGTCAACTGCGCCTCTATCATCGTGAGGTACTTGTCTATTGAGGCTTGCATAAGCGCGCGCAGTTCATCGTCTCCGTTCATCAGCACTTCAGCGATGACGAAAAAGGAGACTCCGGTCAGCGTGGAAGGCGCGACATTGTGATGCAGCACCTGCTCCAATCTCGTCAGCCCTGAGTCGGGGTCGCCGTCTATGAAGTCTATCCGTTCAATGAGCCTGAGATCAATGTCTTCTATCAGGCCCGCCAGGATGCGCTTCTTGCTACTAAAATGGCGGTATATCGCACCTTCGCTCACGCCCACTGTACGAGCGAGGTTGCCAATCGTCAGAGATTGCATGCCGTGCTCGGTTATGACAGCACGCGCAGCCTCTATGATCTCTCGTCTTCTTACACTGGTGGGGCGGCGCGGTCTCACAACCATTTCCACAGAGACCTCAAAATGCAGGTTTAGTAGATACAGGTTTAGTAGCGAATATACCTAATGTGTCTTCGAAGGTCAATTGTGGCATGCTCTGGTTGAGGATGCCTGGAAATCTGCCTGAAGGGCGTAAACAGGCTTCGGAGGCATGGGGGTTGGCTGCAAAGAGGCACACTCGAACTGCCTTGCATGGCGCAGCCTTGACAGCCATGAGCCGCCAGCCTACCATCGCCACGACGCCATCGTCGCCGGGAGGCTGCGGAACACATGACAGCAGCCCGACCGTGTAGGGATGCCGGGGGTTCTTGAACAACTCTCGGACTGGCGCCTCTTCGACTATCTCGCCCGCATACATGACGGCTACTCGGTCCGCCACCCTCGCTATGACACCGAGGTTGTGGCTGACGAAGAGTATGCCCGCGTTTACCCTGTCCTTTAACTCAACTGCCAAGGTTGTTCTATGGAGGTATGGAGTTGCCAGTGTGGTCGGCGAGCAGCGATTAACTTGATAATTGCCGCTCGCCGGTCTCTGCTTCAGTTTATGGCTACTTCACCCACCACTCTTCAAACAGGTAGTGTACTAGCGCTGCGTGTGCCCGGACTCCCCCAATATTTGCGCGGTGCGCGATCATCACGGGAGAGTAGGCGAGATAAAGGACGGGGACATCCTCGATGAGGATTTCCTGCATCTCTCTGAAATACTCCTTGCGCTCCTCCAGGTCAGGCGAGGAGGCGGCTAGGTCAAGCAGTTCGTCGAGACGAGGATTGTTGTAGAACGATTCGTTCCAGACGGTGCCGCCTCGTAGCTGGATGTCTATGGCTGCGTTAGCGGGCCTTCCGCCCCAGTTGCTAGTGACGAACGGGCAGCACGGATTCATCCACTGCGCTTCCCAGTACGGCGCGGCGTCGTGAGTTACGACCTCGACATTGATGCCGGCTGCGGCTACGGACTCCTTGAATGCCAGGGAGACTTCCTGCTGAACTCCGATGTCGGCAGTGTTCAGAACGATGTCGATGCCGTCGGCATAGCCTGCGGCCGCGAGATATTCCTTCGCCTTGGCGATGTCCTGCTTGATGATGGGCTGCTCGTCCCAGTAATACTGGTCGTTGAGGCCAACCGGGTGATCGTTGGCAGGCCCGCCACGTCCGAACTGCGATGCTTCTACGATGAAGTCGCGGTCCACGGCGTACTGCATAGCCTTTCGCACATTCTTGTCGGCAAAAATCGGGTCGGCGAGACCCTGGAACTTCGCCCATTCATCTTTGCCTTGCAGATGCGAGTAGCCGACGTGCATGTCAATTACGACAACATCTCCCGAGGTCGTCTCCGCCACCCGGATGTCGGGATTGCCGGCGAACGAACCCAGTTGGGCTATCGGGGGTGTTATAACCACATCAATCGCGCCGGTCTTGAGAGCCTCTACGCGCGTAATCGACTCTGGCATGTAAAAGAAGATAACCTGGTCGGCGTAGGGCTTGCCTTCGCGCCAGTAGTCAGGATACTTGTTGAATACGGTGCGCTCAGTGGGGTTGTGCTCTCCAAGAGTGAACGCTCCAGAGCCGTGCTCTGCATCGGTTAGCGCGTCGTCTGCAATTCCGTTGGGAACTATTCGTGAGTGGTAGTCGGTCATATCCCCCATCAGGAATGCGTTTGGCGCGCCCAGGTTCAAGACGACCGTGCTGTCATCGGGGGTATCTATTGTGTCGATATAAGATATCTGGCCCTTGAGCGGGGAAGCGGAATCTTCCGCTCTGATGCGGTCTAGGGTGAACTTTATGTCGGCGGATGTGAGGGGGTTGCCGCTGTGGAAGGTGATGCCGTCGCGCACCTTGAAGGTGTACAGCGACAGGTCGCCGCTGGAGGACCATGATTCCACTGCCCAAGGCGTAATCTCGCCGTCGTACCAGTAAATGGTTGAATTGTCGTAAACAAGTTCACCGTAAGGCGCCTGCGCCTGAGACAGGCCGGCAAGCATGGGGTCTAGCGTGCCCTGGTCTATCATGCCAAATCTGATTGTGCCGCCATTTACGGGTTCGTCCCCCATCGCCATGGCCGGTGCGGGAGTAGCGACCGCCCTGTCAACAATTTCCTGTACCTGCGCAGCGGTTATCTGTCCTTCGGACGCCATCTGTACGGCGGTCTGGATGTCCTCACTGGTCAACGTACCCGCCTGGGCATCGCTGACGGCCATCGTTATCGCGGACTGAACGTCCGCGCCCGTCACGGCGTCGGCGGTCGCGGCGTTGACTGCGCTTTCGACCATCGCCCTAATCTGTTCAGGCGTCGCGCCCTCGGAAGCTGCGCCCTCGACCGCGGCCTGCACCATCGCCCGAATCTCTTCGGCGGATACTTCAGAACCGCCCGCATCCATCATGGCCGACTGCATGGACGATTCGACCATGGACTGGATTTCCGCTGCGGTGACCTGTGGCTGCGGCGCGGGTGCTGACTGCGCCACTGCATCCGTCACGATGCTGCGAAGCTGAGCCTCGTCAAGCCCTGGGGCAGGTGCAGGCGCTGAAGAGCAGCCAATAGCCGCGAGAGCGACTATCGACATCAGGGCAACCGTAACTACAAGGGTTTTTGTCATACCTCGAATCGATAACATAATTTCTCCTCTCGGGAATGTTTTTCCGTTCTGTTTTTTTATTAGACGGTGTTCAACAAGTAAGTGAACGCTCGCAATCAAGACTTCCGGACTCCAATATACATAATTAGGGATGTATAGGTCAATAAATTGAACTAAAGAAGAGCTGTTCCCACATCGGGAACAGCTCTTCTTTTCTCTCGCGTTGTTATCCCGCGTTAAGCGGTTACAAGCCGGAAACGCCGCAGTTGAATATATGCCACAGCTTGTGGCTGTCTCCTACCGGGAACTCTTCGCTGCCGAAGTGGTTCAGCGTGTTGACCGCCTGAATAAGCCCGTAGAACTGCAAGGCCGCGGCTTTGAGATCAACATCCCCGCTGACCTCGCCCTTCTGAACGCCGACCGTCAACTGGGCCTCTATCATCGTAAGGTGCTTGTCTATGGAGGCTTGCATAAGCTGTCGCAGTTCATCGTCTCCGTTCATCAGCACTTCAGCGATGACGAAAAAGGAGACTCCGGTCAGCGTGGAAGGCGCGACATTGTGATGCAGCACCTGCTCCAATCTCGTCAGCCCTGAGTCGGGGTCGCCGTCTATGAGGTCTATCCGTTCAATGAGCCTGAGATCAATGTCTTCTATCAGGCCCGCCAGGATGCGCTTCTTGCTACTAAAATGGCGGTATATCGCACCTTCGCTCACGCCCACTGTACGAGCGAGGTTGCCAATCGTCAGAGATTGCATGCCGTGCTCGGTTATGACAGCACGCGCAGCCTCTATGATCTCTCGTCTTCTTACACTGGTGGGGCGGCGCGGTCTCACAACCATTTCCACAGAGACCTCAAAATGCAGGTTTAGTAGATACAGGTTTAGTAGCGAATATACCTAATGTGTCTTCGAAGGTCAATTGTGGCATGCTCTGGTTGAGGATGCTTGGAAATCTGCCTGAAAGGCGTAACAGGCTTCGGGCATGTGTTGGCGGCAAAGGGGCACACTCGAACTGCCTTGCGTGGCGCAGCCTTGACAGCCATGAGCCGCCAGCCTACCATCGCCACGACTTGATATTTCGGATGGCTGGGTGTTCTTTGCACGGCGGCTTGGGCAGGCATCGAGACGTGATGAGCAAGAGATACGATTACATCATAGTGGGGGCCGGTTCCGCGGGCGCGGTGCTGGCTGCGCGGCTGTCGGAAGCTTCGCAGCGGTCTGTTCTGCTTCTTGAAGCCGGAGCCGACTATCCCGTGCGCGAGCGATTGCCCGAATCGTTGAAATATGTCTACGGCGCAGATGGGACGATCTGGGAGGGCGAGCATATATGGAAGTTTCGTGCGAGGGCTACCGATCGCGCCTACATAGATATTCCGCGAGGCAAGGTGACTGGCTGGCTCGAGCGCTGTCAACGATGCCCAGTTTCTGCGGGCAATGCCCGATGACTTCGACAGGTGGGCGAGTTGGGGCAACCCTGAATGGCGGTATGAGAAGGTCTTCCCATACCTGCGAAAGCTGGAGGCGGACCAGGAATTTGATGACGAGTTCCACGGTTCAGCCGGTCCAATCACGTCCAGCAGGCATAGCCCCAACGAGTGGGGACCTCAGCAGCATGCGTTCTACCGGGCATGTCTGGACGCTGGCTTTCCGGACTGTCCGGACCACAACCGACCCGACTCGACGGGTGTGGGGCCACTGGCGTTCAACATTGACGGGCGGGTGCGAGTGAGCACGGCGCTCGCCTATCTGGATCCAGCGCGCGATCGTGAAGGGTTGACGGTCAAACCGCAATGCCTTGTCCACGGTATCATCTTCGAGGGACGCCGGGCCGTAGGTGTGCGAGCTGCCAGCAGTGATGAAGAATTTGTTGTCTTTGGCGATGAAGTGATCCTTTGCGCAGGAGCCATTGGAACGCCGCAGATCCTCGCGCTGTCGGGGATTGGACCTGCCGACCAGTTGCGGCAACTTGGCATCCCCGTAGTGCAGGACTTGCCGGGTGTGGGGCGCAATCTCAGGGATCATCCGGATGTGCCGATGTCATGGCGAACGCGCGCAGATTTTTCGCTGAACACCAATCAGGTCGCCACCGGAACGGTGACGCTACGCTTCACGGCATCAGGCTCTCCGTTCGAGAACGACCTCGTGATTTTCATGGGGAACTACGCGGCTGCGAGGCCGATGCGGGGGCAAGACCACCTGCGTCCTGTGGGAGTAGGGGTAAGCCTGTGCCTGTATCTTGCTCTGAGCCAGGGGGAACTGCGGTTACGCTCGCGCGACCCGAAGCAGCCGCCGTATCTCGATTTCAACCTGCTGGATGACGCATTTGATCGCGCGCGCCTACGTGAGGCTATCAGAGTGTGCGCCGAGTTGTTCGAGCACGATGCGTTTCGCGGGATAGTCGAGAAGCGGATTGGCCCGTCGGACGATGCGCTGCGGGACGACTATGCGCTGGATTCGTGGATGAAGCGTGAGGTGGTTACCGCCACCATGTATCGAGCACCTGCAAGATGGGGCCGTCAGATGACCCGATGGCTGTGGTGGACCAGTACGGGATGGTTTACGGTGTTGACGGGCTGCGAATCATTGATGCGTCGATTATGCCTGACACTGTGCGGGCGAACCTGAATCTCACGGTAATTGCGATGGCTGAGCGGGCCGCGGACTTCATCAAGGGGAGATGACGGCTGCTCGATATTGCTTGCGCCTGCTGGTTTCGCAGGGAAGATGATGCCCCCTCTCGCAGGGAGAGGGGGCATGCTATAGCTGACTACCTAAGCCGGTTACCAGGTGGGGGCGTAGTCGTTGTAGTGGTTGTTGGTGAGGCGCTGCTGGTTTTTGCCGTCGGCGTCCATCATGACAATCTCGCCGTCGCCGTCGAGGTATGAGACGAAGGCGATGCGATTGCCGTCGCGGGACCAGGCGGGCTGGTCGTCGCGGACGCTGTTGCGGGTGAGCCGCTGTACTTCGCCGTCGCGGATATCTACGACGTAGATTTCGGGGGTGCCGTCCTGGTCGGAGGAGTAGGCGATCTTTCTGCCGTCCGGGGACCAGGCGATATTGAATTCCGTGCCACTGGTCTCGGTGATGCGCTTCAGCTCGGTTGCGTCGGAGTTCATGACGTAGATTTCGGGGTTGCCGTCGCGCTCGGAGATGAAGGCGATCTTGTGGGAGTTTGGCGACCAGCAGGGACTGTAGTCGGGCTGATCGGTGAGGCGGACTTCGTTGACGCCGTCGGGGTTGCGGACGTAGATGCCCTGAGCGGGTCCCGCCGCGCACCGTGAAGACGACGCTGGAGCCGTCATAGGACCATCCGCCGACCTCATGAGCCACGATAGTCGTCAGTTCCATTGAGCCAGAGCCGTCGTATTTCGCGACGTGGGTCGAGGGGTTGCCGCCGTTCTGAACGAGGTAGGCGAGGCGTTCACCGGAGGGCGCCCATCGGTGGTCGCGGTGATTGCCGTCTAAGGTGCTTATTGCCGTTGCGCTGCCTGACTCCCCATCAAGCGCTATGACGTTCAGTATGTTGTGGTCGTCGTTGCCGGAGAGGAAGGCGAGGCGCGTGCCGTCGGGAGATAGGGAGGGCGCGTACTCGCTGCCGGCGCTCTTAGTCAGGTTGACGAGTTCGGCTTGTTCGGGGTCGAGGGAGAATATCTCGCGGTTGCCGTCGATGTCGGAGGTGAACACTATGGGGTTCCCTGCGGACGAGCAAGCTAGAGATCCCAGAATCAGGGCCATCAGAGGTATGAAGAGTAGTCGCATTTGCAAGCTCCTTCCACTTGTGCATTTAATGCTTACAACAAGCACAACACAAGGCTGGGACTTACATCAAGCCAAGTTTGGTATCTTAATTGGATATTGTTTAGAAAGACGGTTAGGCTTTTGGTTGGTTAATCTGTAAATGAGACTGGGCTAACAGGATAGACAGGATATTTCACACCCAGCCCGATCCTCCCGTATCAAGGGGGATGGGGGTTTAATTGTGCCCTGACCTTAGCCCTGTCTTAATGGGAGAGGGGACTTCAGGGGCTGCGGATGGTGGGGTTTTTGCGCTTGCGGGCGAGCGGGTTGGGGAGGATCGGGGGTGTTGTGGGCTTCGGCGGCTTCGGCAAGCTGCACTAGCGGGTCCGACATGCCGCGCGGCGCGGGCATGCTTGAATAGTCCGCAATCTCTTCTTCAGTCAGGCCGTGTTCGCGCCGGTCTTCTTCGTCGAACTTTGCCTGCTCTTCGGGGTTTAGGGGTTCGAAGTAGTAGTCGATTGTCGGGTCGGGGTCGTTGGGGCCGTAGTCGTAGATGTTCTTTTCTGGTTTTACGTCTATGCGGCGGTACTTTGCCTCTGCGCGGAGGGCTGCCCGCTCGTCGCCCTATCCATGGCTTCGCTGAACTCTTTGATGATTGCCCTGCGGTCGGCGGGGGTTCGTTCTCTGATTTATCTAGGGTAGGCTCTTCGGCAGAGTGGGGTGGACGGGGGTTTGTCTGACTTGTGTAGGGGATCTCACCCCAACCCTCTCCCTCAGGGAGAGGGAGCTTTGTGGCAGGACGTGGCGGCTTGGAGGTCTTCTAGATTCCTGCTTTCGGAGGAATGGCGAGAAGATGGGACGGTCTCTTGGAAACGAAGCGGCTTTGAGTTGTCGTCTCGGTCTTCTTCTTCTCTCATCTCTTTGGCTATGGCTTCGTAATCCTCTGGGATCGTCGTAGTTGTCGTAGTCGTCTATGGTGGTTGAGAGGCCGGCTTGGGTCTTCTTCTGGCCAACTGACAGACGCGTGCTTTCCTTGTCGCGCCAGTAGTCTTGAGAGGTGCTTGGGCTTGATGTTGTCGTAGTTGGTGTCCCAGCCACGGCGCAGGAGTTCCTGTGCTGCGGACATCGGTGATGGATGGTGAATCTCTAGCTCAGGGGTCGGGGATCAGACATCACTTCGAGCAGGAAGCGGATGGTGTCGGCTCCGCGCTCGCTGTACTCGCGCATTCGCTGGCGAGGTCTGTGTGCAGGGTGTCGTAGGCGTTTGCTTCGTCGGTGGTGTCTGAGAGCTTGCGCCTTGGGCCGAGGTCTCCGAAGCCTCGGCGCAGCAGTTCTCTTGCGGCTGCCATGCGGTCTGCGGGCTTGATGCGGAACTTCTTGGGTGTGAATGGCCTGTCCCTGCCGGTCATGATGTCCACGAGGAAGTTGACGACGGTGTGACCTTCTGCTGTCTCGTGGCGGATGAGGTGGGCTATTTCGTAGTTGAGGATGTCGAGGTGGGGATACGGGGCGTTGCAATCTCTTTTCCCCTCACCCTAGCCCTCTCCCCATGGGGAGAGGGGACTTTGGACGGGGGTTTCGTCGCCGCCCTGCTCCTCCTCGACTGGATTCCCGCCTGCGCGGGAAAGACGGTCAGAGGTGGTTTCGCAGTCGGTGTCAGTGAAGCCGTACTTGATGAGGTGTTTTGCGGCTTCGAGGCGGTGGTTGAACTTGGCGTCGGTGTGCTGTCCCTGCATGGTGTCGACGAGGAAGGCGGCGATCGAGTCGCCTTCCCTTGTGCGGTCGATGATGTTTTGTTGTAGTTTGGTTGGGATGCACATGAGGGTCTTTCGGTCTTTCAGTAAGTTGTGTGGACATTTCCCATTTGTCCCCTGTCATTCCGTGCGAAGCGAGGCATCTGAAGTCTGCGAATGGCGTATGTGCAAAGATTTTAGATTCTTCACTCCGCTCCGCTGCGTTCAGAATGACAGGGGCTAAAGACGCTCCCTTCGGAATGACGGAATAAACCTACTATTCTGGTTCAAATGCTTTGTGTATCAAATGTCATCAGAGCCTCGTCAGTCGGGCAGTCTCTTTAGATCCCCTGAGCGAACGACTGTGCTTATTGAAGTCCATCATACGTACGGATGTTTGGGTTGTCAAGAGTGAATTGAGTGAATGGTTGGGATAATGTGGGAGAGGGTTGTAAAATGTTGGCTATGAATATTCTTGAAGTAACGATAGATGAGTTGGTTGAGCGGTATTCGGCGCTGCTGTTTGATGCTTATGGGGTGCTGTCGTACACGGTGGGTGCGCTGCCGGGGGCGGTCCCACTGATCGACAGGCTGAATAAGATGGGGAAGCCGTATTATGTGCTGACGAATGATTCGTCCGCGCTGCCGGAGAATCGTGCGGCGAGATACCGCAACGTAGGACTGAATCTCGATGCAAGCCGCATTATCACCTCTGGCAGCCTGCTGACAGGATATTTCGAGGCGCAGGGTCTGAGCGGGACGCGGTGCGTTGTGCTGGGGACTGAGGACAGTGCGGAGTATGTGCGGCTCGCCGGGGGCATTCCCGTGTCGGCTGCGGACGGGTTCGATGTGGTGGTCGTTGGGGATCAGTCGGGGTTTCCCTTTGTGCAGGGAGTGAATGCGGTGTTGAGTGCGCTGTTTCGGATGATTGACGCAGGGGATGCGCCGCGGCTGGTGCTGCCGAATCCTGACCTGGTATATCCCAACGACGTTGGGTTTGGGATGGCGAGCGGGAGTGTGGCGCTGATTATCGAAGCGGCTTTGCGGCAGCGGTATCCGAAGCGCGAAGGGCTTGAGTTTGAGCGGCTGGGGAAGCCGAACGGGGCGATTTTTGAGGCGGCGGCGAGGCTCACAGGGACGAGGGATATGGTGATGCTGGGGGATACGCTGGAGACGGACATTCGGGGGGCGAATGCGTTCGGGATCGATTCGGCGCTGGTTGCGGGTGGGGTTACGCCTGCGGATGGGTTGGAGGGGGCTGTGGATGTGCCGACTTACTGGATTAGGGGGTTAATGAGGGGCTGACGGGATGGATAACTTGGGATGATTCTTATTCTGGCTCTACTAGCTTTATGTCGTCCATATATTCCAGAATCGCCTTGATGTCTCCTTTTCGCCTTCCTCTTGTCTGCCAACCAAAGATACCAAACGCTGCAGCACCGACAAATGAGGCTGCTGCTGCTGCCAAGAATCCGCCTCTTATCCAAAACACTGCAGATTCGAGTTGAGTTGTACCGATTCCAAACGAAAAGCTCAGTGTGAAACAGACAGAGGCTATTAGAAACCATATGTTCTCACTCAAGTCGATGTTCTCGACTTGACGCCTCAAACCGCCCCACTGCTCATAAGTTATCCCGAAGAATGACAGCCTCGCAGGCATTGTTACGTCGGAAGGTATGCTTCCTTCAATGTTTATGTAACCTTCTTCGTCGCTTGACGGTCTACTCATCTACTTCCTCTTCGTGGCGTTCGACGAGTCCTAATTTGATTGCACTGAAGAGAGCCATGTATCCACAGCCACGGCACGCTAGCATAACGGCCGGAATAGCTGGGTCGAAAGTAATCCTCCTTTCCGAGTCCTTATATGGAACAACGGTGACGAACTCATTAACGAGCGTCCAGTCGCTGTGTCCTGACATGGGGCACTTGTTTGTAACGCCAAATTCGCGAAGTTTCTTGTTTACTCTTTCTGGATCCACTTTCTGATTCGATATTGCGGTTGACATGGCTTGCCTCCCGTGCAGCATTTATTGCGGCATCCCATTATTGAAGACAGAGTACCAGCAACGGATACTCCTCGCAATTGCTACTCGATGCACTCGGTTGCGATTAATTGTCGTACAAGGCTATTATAGCGAGGGATTTAGGGACGAATTTGCTTCTGAGGAATGTTGAATGATTAAGAACTTTTCGGTGCTGTATGTGGGGAATATCGACCTTGATGACGTGGGGAGCGACGGGACGCCTGCGGATGAGCGGCGGTATCCGAATGAGCGGCTGATGCAGAGTATGGATACGGCGGGGCAGGTTGCGGGGCTGATGGATGAGCTGGGGTTTTATGCGCTGTGGATGGCGGAGCATCACTTTCAGCGTGAGGGGTATGAGACGATACCGAACCTGATTCTGATGGGGACGCACCTGGCGGGTAAGACGGAGCGGCTGAAGTTCGGGTGCGCGTTTAACATCGTTCCGATGTGGCATCCGATACGGCTTGCCGAGGATTACGCGATGGCGGATATTCTGACGGACGGGCGCATCATCTTCGGCGTGGGTCGCGGGTATCACAGCCGAGAGGTGGAGTCGTTCGGGTCGCCGGTTATCGACAATGACGCGAAACCGCGAGCTGTTCGAGGAGCAGATGGAGGTCATCTTCAAGGCGTTCAATGAGGAGTCGTTTACGCACAAGGGGAAGAACTTCACGATTCCGGCAGAGGTGGAGTATCGCGGGTATGACCTGGAGGAGGTTACGCTGGTGCCGCGTCCGAAGCATACGCCGGTGGAGATGTGGCAGCCTATCGTTAGCGGCAGGACTATCGACTTTATCGCGCGTAACGGGATTAAAGGCGTCGTGGGTCTTACCGGGGAGTCGCTGGTCGAGGGGATTTTCGAGCAGTACAAGGATGCGAATGCGAAGTACGGGCGGGACCTGGAGATTGGGGAGAACCTTGCGCTTGAGGTTGGATTCTATATCGCGGGCAGCCAAGAAGAGGCGATGAACAAGCTGCGTCCGTACCACGACGAGCGGTATAAGTGGTTCGCGCCGTTCGGGTTCGTGCGATACGCGGACGAGCAGGGGCGCGTGTGGGGGACGCCGGGCGCGCCGGCTCGGACGCCACACATCGAGGACGGGGTGCAGCAGCGGGCGTGGATATGCGGGACGGCTGAGGAGTTTGTAGCGTTCCTGCGGGAGCTGGAGGCGAAGTATCCGGGGCTGGAGCATGTGATACTGCACTGGGCTGAGGGGATGCCGAGGGCGGAGTTCATGGAGCAGCTGGGGTTGTTTGCGGATGGGGTGATGGGGGAGTTTGTGGGGAGGTAGGATAGACAGGATGTGCCTGCGGTCTCGTAGTCCAATCCAAGGAGAAGGGTCTTGCCCGATACTTATTATGACCTAGCAAAACACTTCGAGAGAATTGCGACCGAGCTAAAGGCTCAGGCACTGCAGTCTAGCATACTGGGAAACTCGTCAGGTGTTGGTACGGACCGAGAAGAAGTCTATCGAGGCTTCCTAGAGCGTCATTTGCCCAAAAATTGTGATGCTTTCCTTGGTGGGTACGTTTTTGATATGGAGGGAATTAAATCTAAACAGATCGACATTATTGTTACTGCGGGACCAACTCCCAGATTTCTCCTAGCTGATGAAGGTCGTCACATTGCTCCATTGGAAGGAAACCATAGCGACTATAGAATCGAAGACTATGCTTGACAGCGCGGCATTGAGGGACTCTCTGGATAAATGTGCATCGATTCCCCCAATGCCTAGCCAAGAAAGTATTGTGCCGCCAATGCTGAGGATACCTCAGGCAAAGTGGGATGACTTCCCGTTCAAAATCATTGTCGCATATGATGGCAACAGTAAAGAAAATATCTGCGAAAATATCAATGAGTTCTATAGGGTGAATGATGACATTCCCCGTTATCGTAGACCCAACCTCATACACGTAATTGGCAAATATTTCATAATGCGAATGACGGAAGGATTCCATGTTGTCAATTCTGACGGGACTACGGACCCCAATCAACCCAACGTGGGGACCTATCGCTGGTTCGATAGAGGCCCTGATGCTATAGCCATCGCATTGACGCTTTCCACGCTTCAGTCGAATGCATTTCTATCAAATTTCCTGAAGTACGATTTTGACAATTGGATAAATCAGATATCGGGAAGGATTCTTGAGATGGAATGAGTGTAGAAGGTCAGCGAAGTAATTGGAATTGGGCGTCAGATAAGTAGAGGGAGCTATGAGTATGCTTGAGGGGAGTCCGAATCAGTTTGGGGGGTTTGTGGTTAATCCGGGGGCGCTGCCGGAGGATGCGGGGCGGTTCAGGCGGCGGCTGGCAGATGCGATGGATGACTGGGCGGATGTGGGTTATAAGGTGGCGTGGCTGGAGGTGCCGCTTGCGAGCGCCGGGCTTGTGCCTGCGGCTGCTGAGGCGGGGTTTCGGTATCATCACGCGGATGAGGATTATGTGATGATGACGCTGCAGATCGAGGAGGGGGCGTATATTCCGCCGCACGCGACGCATTATATCGGAGCGGGTGGCGTGGTGATCAGCGAGGACCGGCAGTTGCTGGTGGTGTCGGAGCGGCATCAGATTCGGCCTCGGAGCGGGCCTTCGTACAAGCTGCCGGGTGGCGCGCTGACGCAGGGGGAGCATCTGGCGGACGGCGTGGTGCGCGAGGTGCTGGAGGAGACGGGCGTGCGGACTCGGTTCGAGGCGGTGGTGTGCTTGCGGCACTGGCACGGGTACCGGTATGGGAAGTCGGACATCTACTTTGTGTGCAGGCTGTCGCCTCTGAGTCGTGAGATTACGATGCAGGAGGAGGAGCTGGAGGCGGCGCTGTGGATGCCGGTGGACGAGTACCTGGGCGCGGATACGGTGCATAATTTCAATAAGACTATCGTGTCGGCTGCGCTGAACTCTGAGGGGGTTAAGCCGGGGTTCATCGAGGGGTATGGGGACCGGCATCAGTTTGAGTTCTTCTTGCCGACGGGACTTGCGCCGCAGGGTGTGGAGTATGAGGAGACGCCGTGAGCTGGTTTTTCAGTAGGTCAGTTTGTCGGTAGGTCAGTCTTGATTCCTGCTTCTGCGGGAATGATGAGGCTAACAGGATGGATGGGATTGGCAGGATGGGTGAATAGGATGACGTGAGGGATGTGGTATGGGTATGGCTAGGCAGAACGAACGCAGCGCCAACAACGCCCTTTCGGATTTGCTCAGGGGGATGATGCATGGGTGCGAGGTGCGCTCGGAGAGTACGCGCACAATCTCGGAGCAGAGCGGTTCGCAGCCGGACATACTGATTACGGCGGCAGACCGCGCCCCTGTGGTCATCGAGGCCGAGTACATGCCTGCTGCCGAGGTGGAGGAGGATGCCGCCAAGCGTCTCGGACTCGAAGCCGCGAACACGGGACGCAAGATTGAGGCGGTCATCGCGCTGCGCTATCCGCAGGGTCTGGAGTTCGCGTATTCACTGGCGGACGCGGTTGCCGGCGCGAGGCTGTCATACTGCGTGCTGACGACTGCGGATTCCCGTCTTAGCGGGAGCGGTGGGAGTGACAGGGATGGCGGATTGAACACCCCATCGTAACTTCCCCATCAAGAGGGACTATGAGCGCTTCCCTGAATCCGGCTGGCTGGAAGGTTCGGTTGCGGATGTGGCGGACTTGGCGCGGTTGGTGTCTGTGCCGCAGTCTGCGGTCAATGCGGCGGCGAGCGCGCTGGAGGCGGGTATAGACAGCGCGGTTGGCGTGCTGAACAGCCTGGAGCGTCTTTCACCCGTTGCGGCGCGCGAGGTTGCCGACCTGCTTGGCATGTCCGATGTCCCGCAGACGCGCCGCATGGCTTGCGCGATTGTTGCGAACGCTATGGTCTTTCATGATCGAATCGCGGCGATGCACCCGGAAATCTTGCCGCTTAACAGGCTTTGGGGAACGGGCGCGGACAATCCTCAGGGCAAGGTTTCAGAGGTGTGGGACGCGATACTGGACATCAACTACTGGCCGATATTCGCGGTCGCGCGGGACATTGTGAACCTGCTGCCCTCTCACGCGGCGGCGCGGATTCTGGAGCATCTGCGAACGACCGCGCACCGCATCAACGCCACGGGCGCGAATGTTGCGCACGACCTCACAGGACGCGTGTTCCAGCGACTCATCGTGGACAGAAAATATCTGGCGACCTTCTACACGCTGCCCGCGTCTGCTGCCCTGCTGGCGCAGACTAGCCGTTGCGAAATTAGAAAGCGTGGACTGGTCGAACGCCGAGGCTATCGGCAAGCTGAAGGTGGGAGACTTCGCGTGCGGAACGGGCGCGCTGCTGTCCGCCGGTGTACGAGCAGTTTGCCACGCGGCACGAGCAGGCGGGCGGCAACCCGGCGTCTCTCCACAAGGCGATGATGGAGGATGTCCTCTATGGCTGCGATGTGATGCCGTCGGCGATACACATCACCGGCTCTACGCTGTCGGGGATACAGCCGAATGTGGGATACGACAACTCGCGGCTGTACAACATGCCCTATGGCAGGCAGGCGGACGGCACGGGTGCGATAGTTGCGCTGGAACTGCCGCAATCGTCTATGCCGTCATGAGAGACCCTCTTCACCGAGACGACCGCGATGCGACGGGCCAGCGCGGGCGAGAGAGCGGCGGGCGCGCGTCTACGTAATAGTGATGTACAGGACAGCGGGACGATGGGTTTGACATTGTGATAATGAAACTCGACCGTTCACGCGCGTACAACTCTTGAAGCGCGCAGCGGATATTCTGACGCGCCCATTGCTTTCCCGCAGCCTTTCAATGCCACCAACGCAAATGGACGCAGTTCGGATTATGGCAAGCGTATGTCAACGTGAGAAGGGGCAGCGCGTATTCACGGGAACGCCGGATTGCCTCGGCGTTCTTGCCTCGAACTTGTGGCATCGCGAAGTCAAGGAGCTGCGGGTGTGCTTGCGCGTTGGTGCTGTCCGTTGTCGCGGCCGTCGGCATGTCGGGGCAGCAAGCATTCCGCGACGTGCTGGCGCAGAGACTACACTGACATAAGCGTGTTGAGCATCGCGCGAATGCCGGGATTATGGCGTTCGTCGCTGACCCACGGGTCATGGCTGAGTGTCTGTGGGTACGCTCGGCAAACTTCAGGAAAGATGAGCACCGTCAGGCAGCCGTGATGGAGTTCACAGTCGTTTAGACACGTCCGCGCGATTCGCCACGCGCCGCCGTTGTCCACGCGCGGCTGCTAACTGGCCAGTGCAGTCGCACGGAGCATTGATGACGGGCCTGACGGCGGCACGCCTGCCATGTAGGCGATGAAGAAAGGCGGCGAGAGGCTGACCGCGCCTTACGATCGCAGACGCGAGGGACTGCGGGCGGTGCGCCTGTCGCAGCTCGGCGCTCGCGCAGACGCCTATCGCGCTCGCTCAATTAGACTGTGGCTGCACCCGGCGCTCCGATGCGTAGACAGGTCCTGACAAACCTTGCGTCTCTGGCAAACTTTGCGCACCTGGCTGGTACACTTGCGACATCACATGGCCACCGCGCAAGCGCGGTCCGTTCGACATAGGTTGCTGCCAGCCCGACCGCTACTACCTACCGCGCTGTGGTAATCACATGCAGCAAGCGAGAGCGATCGTACGCGAACCTGACTCCCACTGCGGTTTCGTTAAGCAAGATGGAGTGCGAGCAGTAAGCCGCCGTGCATGTGGGCGAAACGCACGAGTCCATCTCACATCTGAACCTCGACCTTTACGATTCGGTCTCAATCCAGAGGCGCTGGCTCCCGTACAGTTCACGAGGGAACATCATAGCGGCAGAGATGTGGCGAGCCTGGCGAAGTTTCAATTCGACGATGACGCTCGACTACGCATTCGGCGTTATGGGGCAAACAGCACGATTGGGGATTTGCTGATGCACTGTGGCATGTCCGAATACAGCAACCCGTCATCGAAAGTCGCGCAATGACTATCATGCACCGCCGCGACGGACAGTCTGCCCGTCCTCGACACTGCGCGCCTCACCGACGCAGCAGCTGGCGACCGCGATTCGACTATCGACGAGGTCCGCGACGCTCGACTGGAAGACCGGCGTCGTAGTCTGGCGGATAGGGATGCCAACCGCGAATTGCTGGACAGGCGCGTGGTGTGCGACATGCTGGGCTTCGGCGCGGAGGTGTACGAGGGCGTGCGCTTGGTGGCGGCGAAGTGGTGCGGTGAGCCGTCGGTGCATGGGGGGAAGTCTAGGGGTTAACAGGATGGATTTGAAAGAATAGAGGGGTTTGAGATGGCGCAGGTTAAGCGGGTGATAATTGATGCGGACCCGGGGATTGACGACACGGCGGCGATATTGATGGCGCTGGCGAGCGATAAGCTGCAGGTGGAGGCATTCACAACGGTGCATGGGAATGCGTCTGTGGAGCAGTGTACGGTGAATACGCTGCGTATTCTGGAGGCTGCGGGGCGCACGGACATTCCCGTCTATCAGGGCGTGGGCAGGACTCTGACTTATCACATACCGACTTACGCGCCGCATATTCACGGGGACGACGGAATTGGTAACATCGACGCGCCGCTGCCGACCATAACGGTGCAGGAGAGGCATGGCGTACCGGAACTCATAGACCGCGTGCTGGCGTCGCCGGGGGAATTGACGGTGCTGGCTATCGGGCGGCAGACGAATGTGGCGCTGGCACTGAGCATTGAGCCGCGCTTCGCCGAGTGTGTGCGGGAGATTGTGGTAATGGGCGGGGCGCTGTTCCAGCCGGGGAATGTGACTCCGCTTGCGACTGCGAACATCGCGGGGGACCCAGAGGCAGCGGACGCGGTGTATCGCTCGGGGGCACGAGTTACGCAGGTAGGGCTGGATGTGTGCAATCATGTCGAGGTTTCGGGGGCACAGCAGCAGCGCGTATGGGATGCAGGTACGCCCGCGACCAAAATGCTGGAGTCTGCGACACGGTTCATAAACAGGGCGTATCAGAAGGATAACCGGTTGCACAATCCGGAAGGCGTACAGTATTCGGACCTAAGCCCGATGGCGTATGCGA